AGCCGGACTCAATACAGTTAACATCGGGAGTGCGCGTGTGCATCTGGGGCGGTGGAATCGCGACGATAATTAATTTGCTATCGAACCATTATTAACGTAGACTTAAATGTAAAACCATAACAGAAACCTCCCCCCTTCAGGGCATTACCCTCCCTCGCCTGCACCCATAGTGAGCTCATGTTTGGTATCTGGCGTGCCTGACACGCACTCAGATAATGCCTTCCTGTGGTGTTACCGTCAGGGGTTCTCGGTTAGGTCACGACGGCTATGGTAAGTCGCGGTCCTCCCCCCCCCCCCCTAGTTCCGTGACGAGCAGTGAGAGGCTCATGTAAGGCCAGAGAGTAGCGGCGGGCGCTTTCCCGATTTTTTTTAAGTGAAATATATGTCGGGATTAGGTCACGGGCTTGTGGGCGTTTTACTAGGTTGTTGACACGCGATAACTATTCTGGAATGGAATGGAATGATGGCCAGGTTAGGCTGCGGAGGTGAAGGCGACACATCGCTTGGTTCTGCTGTCTCGTGTATAGTATGCTCCGAGATGGATAGATTACGCCCGGACGAACGTTTATATTGCTCATCATCGTGTTGGGATTTTTGTCCGGTGTGCACTATAGGCTTTGTGAGATATAATTATATATCATTGCATTCAGATTTCAGACCACCTAGATTTAGCTTTTTTTCTAGATTTAGTTAGCTAAATATGTTTGATCCGGGATCGAGTTTTTACTGTCAAATATTTCGCGCAATTTCCCCGTCGAAACGGATGTTCAAGTGAGGTTATTGATGAAAACGTGCCGCTGATAAAAACGTCGAGTATTTTCGTGGTGGATATTTATTTGGGCGCTTCATAAATGTTCCGTGAATTCACCTTCCGAAATAATCAGTTCACAGAGCAACAGTATTGGTATATGTCTGACGGAATCGGTACCACGGTAGGTACATTTCAGCGCTGGAGGAGCAGTACATGGCACAATCTACCAAATAGCGGCTAACATTTACTAATGATTGGCGTCCATATTATACGCGATATTAAATAGGCATAGAAAAACAATGAAAATGGGTATATACGACGATATGACCTTTTATCGGTGCACCCAACGATTTCAGTGGCCACATTCTGCGCAATGCGCATTATCTGCACAGTAAGTAGGTACCTACCTATATATACCTAGGTACATTTCATCGTTTGCGCCTGCTCGGATATTATATGTGCCTTTTATGAATTAAAGTCTAGCGACGCCACTGCTATCTCTGCCAACCTTATTCGTCCCAACCCACACTGACCACACAGTCATAGTCTTTCTCCTCCACCAACTGAACAACAATCACATTCACAGCGACTGAATACATTATTGCATTCATACAAGAAAGCTCCAATCGCTAGAGCCGTTGCGCTTATATAAAGGATATGGAGAGTCATATAATCACAGTCATTAGAGGCCACTTGAACTCTTATAGGAAAATAAACATCATTCATGTCCTTAGATCTCGCCATAGGTAGATGTATGACATGGCTATTTTTCATTGCATTTGCGATCGCTATCGCAAAAAAAAACTCACAAACAAGTACACCCGTTCAAACTTAAAACGTATGTCATTCAAAACCAAAAGTCGGGACAGCACGCACCAACACAACAAACAGAAACATATCAGCCCTAAAAGTATGACTTTCAACAGCTAGCAGAAACAAATTAGAAAAGAGTCGTATATAAGCAGAACTGGTAGGCACGCACCCCGTGCTCACAAAATCATTCGCATTCGTAAAACGTTGCTCACTGACGAGGAATCGTAATAGAAAGATAACATTAAAATATTCAGATTTCAGAAGTGTGAGATAGCCGTTTTAACCCTATTCCTGGCGGGCTCCGCCGGGACAAGAAACTGGCGGGGGGGGGGGGCGATTCGGCCCCCCTTCTGATCTCAAAAACTACACATCGCAGCGACAAACGGCAAACGGCGTTTGATAGGTCGTTTAAAGATCTACAACTTTTACATAACACATTTTCAGGTCAGGTCAATATTGAGGTCACCAGAGGTCATCAACGATAAAATGTTTTGGAATTAGTTACCTATATAACTTTAAAACTAAGAAACATATTAACATAGAGACATAAAACCAACACATTTTTTGTTGCTCTCGCCGAGGCGATGCGAAATAGGTATGTGATGACCTTCACAGGTCAATTTGAAATTTGACCTGAGGTCAAGGTCAGGTCATTCATCAATGAGGTTGTGGGGTATGGTCATGCTGCATACCAAACGACGCGCCTTGACCAGGCGAGCAGTTTGGTACCACTTACAAGTCTTTAGCACCATCATGTCGTGATTTATTGACAGAAAAACGATTTATGACGTCACATGACCTCAGATGACCTTTGCCGGTGCCCCTGTCAATTAGCGGCACCAGGATCATCACCGATGAGATAATCTTCCATAATACTGAAAGAATTGGGTGGTTTTGACTCGTTTACACGAAGCAGGAGGCGTTTCAATATTTTCCCATAGGCTTGCAATGTAAAGGTCACGAGTCTGGCCTGACCTCAGGTCACAGATATGAAAATTCTGAGATAAAAAATTGCACATACCTACTGGTACCCTAACTAAAACCTGAAGAGAAGAAATTGATCGGTCAAAAACTCTAGCTCTGGTGTGATTGCAAACTTTTCTGAGGTGGGGTCACCAAACCGCCTCTGGTGACCTGACCTGACCTGACCCGGCAACTTTTTTTGTCAAAATGTGCGCAATGAATTTTTAGAAAAAGTCACCAAGTATGAGCTTTCAGTCTTGCGGCGTTTGGCAATGGCACAAGAAAAACCTGAAGGGGGGCCTTAACCCGCGAGTTGCTGGGGGGGGGGGACGTTAAACGCCCCCACTTTTTTCGCCGGGCCATAGCATAAAAACGGCGCGCCGCAGGCGCGCCAAATTTTGGGTACCTGTAGGGAATTGATTGAAGTTTATTGTGACAAAGTTTCAAGAAAATCGGTCGGAATTTTTTTTTTTGAGATATCGAGGTTTTAGTGACGTCATGATTTCTGAGTTTTCGACCAAAAACGGCATAGGTATGTTAAAAAAATCATATAAAATCACAGAATAGACATAAAGACATGCCGTAAACGGCATTAGACTGCCAATACCATGAACAATCAAATGGCTATCTTCGATTATTGATTATTGTTTCGCATTTTCCAAAATCTTTATCTGAATCTTGGCAATTTCTCGTGACTACCTCACGACCATGATACATGCATTTCTTAAATTGAACTTTTTGAGCCAAACACGTACACATATGATAAAATGAATGTCACCATCGTGTTCTACGCCCCAAATTACCCATTTAACATGTGTCACAGGCTGCGAATATCAGTTTTGATTTTCGGGGATAGGTATATGCCTACCCGGTTGACCTGACCTTGACCTTGACCTATGCTTGACTGACCCCTACATGGAGCTGACACTCTTGTAGGCCTTATATGATGGATTGTGCACGGTTTTGACAGAGTTTATGACGAGAGGCGCCCATTGCGAAGTCCATGCTACTGAAAGCCCGATTTCAGGTGTTTGACCTGACCTTGACCCGACCTGTGACCTCAAAATTCAACTTTAAAGTATTCATCTGAAGCGTCTCGTCGCGTTCTTTCGTTTGCCGCCTCGTGCGTTTCGCTGCGCCTATTGGTTCTCGAGTTATCGGCTGGGGGCGTTTAACGCCCCCCCCCCCCCAGCAAACGGTGGGTGGCGAAATATCCCAGCAACTGCCGGGTTAAAGCCCCCCCCCCCCACCACCAGGAATAGGGTTAACTGAATGGCGGCCTTGTCTGTGATTCGTTTTCTTTTACATAACACCAAATTGCAATGCTGCCATGGTGACAGAGAATAGAGGCTCAGGAGTCAGGACCACAATAGAGGCTCAGGGCAGTAAGAAGTCTGGATAAGACAGCAAGCCAACTCGGTGGGTACTGTACATTACCTGTCGCAAAAATGGCGGCTTAGAACTTTGAAGTAAATCCAGATGAAGCAATTAAAGCGCACCGATTTGAAAACCGTTCAGCCTTGTATGCATTTCGATTGGCTTTATCACAGCGCAGCTAAGGAAAAAATAAAAATGCCGGAATGTTTTGTCAACGGCTATGTCTGATGAGAACTTTGAATTTGTCGCATTACAATGTCAGTGCAGTATTTAACCCTCGCCCGCACATGGGGGGGGGGTTGCCACCCCACAGGCAGTCTTTCTGCTCTGTACTCAACATTTTTAGAGCTAGAAGGCTGATTTTTCGTATAGCTGCTCGTCTATCCTTTCTTGATGTCCACTGAAAATTTCAAGTTTCTGTGATTTTTGGTTTCGGAGATATGACCTTGTTTTTCAGGTCATGTCATGACCCAAATGGCCAATTCTCAACATCTTGCGTTTGCCATGGGCCTTGTGAGCTTTTGACACCCTGATTTCGGCCTTTTTTGCCAGTCTTACCTCCCACCTATCATGGAACATGTTGTTCGACGATGTACAGGGGTCAAGGTCAGGGTCAAGGTCAACCTAGGTCATCTTAGATAATTGCGTTTTAGGCAAGCTGAATTTACTTTTTGTGAAGTTTTTTGACTGCATTTTTGGTAAAATCTTCTCAGATCATGATTTCATGTGATAGGGACCCAAAAACAATCGGTGCACACATCAGTATACACACATACACACACAGACATACAAACACATATAATTTAAATTGACCTTGACCTAACTTGACCTGAAATGACCTCAGCAGCAAAATTCTGGTCGGATAGTGTGACAAAGAGGTTCTAGCTGGCTTGGCACCAGAAAACAGCATCGTCATCGGTATTTGATAAGCAGCGCACTTGATATCCAACGGTGACCCAAAACAGCAACATTTTTTAGTTTGACCTGACCTGAGAAGGTAAAACTGGGTATCATTGGATTTGTCTCTTCCCAAAGAATCTTTTTGGTCTTTACTGCTAAGCTCTATCTCCAACAGGAACGAAATGGCGCGGGGGGTGGCAACCCCCCCCCCCCCATGTGCGTTCTAGGATGGGAAAATGGCATGTGCGGGCGAGGGTTAATGCAGGCAATGATACAGATGACCTCGATAGATACTCACACCTACTAATAGATCTTAGGAGAATCCTCCATGGGATGAGTGAGAATGCCTCATGACTGACCACCCTTCTTGAGAGGTTACTGTTAGTTCAAGGGCGAGGCTAGGAATATGGACGGAAGTCGTTACCAATAAAACGTTGTCTTCATATAGGAACAAACGCCAGCGCAGGGATGCAGTGATCTCCGCGCTCATCGCTCCTTCCAGCACGAGGTGAAGTCCCGGCCCCGTCCCGAAGGTCTGTCTGGCCCGGTGTACACGTCGTAGAGTTGGACTGGTTCCTCACTCGCAGAAGGCTCTACCTCCTCGGAGTTTTATACGCCCGGTTTTTGGGTGAGTTCCACGCCGTTCTGAGTGGGCTCGCCGTTCTGCGCTGCCTTGGCCTTCTTCGAGTCCTCATCCAGGTAGAGTTTCAGCGAGCTGGAGTTGAGGAAGATGACGAAGTCGCAGATGACGGAGAGCAGGTAGAAGACGGTGTGGAACCAGATGAGACTGTGTCTGCGAATCAAACGGGTAAAACGTCAGTAATGCGTCCCGTGGTCTGTGATAGCACGTGTCAGAATTCAGAGATAATGGTGTTTATCGCAAATCTCCGCTCAAACAACGTCAAGGTGTAGCATTCCAAAGCATTGCTTCACTATAGCCACACCTTGGCCACACCTACATAATTTATTACTTGCTACAAGTTTACCATATTCGGAGGAGTTGAATAACAATTATAAAACTTATTTAAGATTCTTTGGCTTAACTTTTTTCGGGACGCCTGTAGGTATATAACGTGAACTCCCTGACGTACGCTCGTGTCTCCGAACATGTGTTGACCGCCTATCAGCTCCCTGACGTTTGTCCGCCCACCCCTCGCCGTCCGTTTAGATAGGTCGGCATCCTCACCTGAAGGTATCGGGGTCATAGACCCAGCAGGCGCCCGTTTCTCCACACGATTGCTCCCAGACGAGGCACGTACTGTCCACCAGGTTGCCGACCACCATGGGGCCCAGGCCGAACGCCACCGCTATGAACGCGCCGTTCAGACCCAGGCCCAGCGCCTTGTCCTCGGGCTTCACACACCTGCGGCAGAGTGACGTCAAATGTGTGGTGATGTCATCACAAAGTGTGGTGATGTCATTATGAAGTGGGGTGACGTCATAAGGTTAAGTGATGTCCGCGGGGGATACGCTGACGTCGCTGCAAACTGCAGTGACGCGAGGAAGCTTTGTGGGATCACTTGTAGGAGATATGGAATAAAAAAGTGGTGTTGCCGCAGCTGAATTTGAGTCTTATCGCTTATTCTCCTCCTGTAAAAGGGCACACGTGTCCGCCAACCCTCCCCGACCGATAATGCTGACGGAACCGCTACTCTGCGACACCCAAGGTCTGGTAGGGACAGCTGTAGCGTCTGGTAGGGATAGCTGTGGCGTATTCCTGGTGCCTTCCTAGCCTCTACCCAGGTCTCTTTATCAACGCACCTCCATTCTTTGACTTTTCTTACCTGAGTGTGACCATGAGATGCGGGATGGAGACTAGGGATGAGATGAGGCCTGTCAGCGCCGTGATGACGAGGTAGGTGTGGAACTGAGTGTCGCAGCTGCCCTCGCAGAGACCGCTGGTCAGCTCGACGGACGGCTCCTCAAGACAGCTGCGGAGAATAGAACAGACAGACACACAGACCGCTGGTCAGATCGGCGGACGGCTCCTCCAGACAGCTGCGGAGAATAGAACAGACAGACACACAGATCGCTGGTCAGTTCGACGGACTGCTGTTCAGAAAACTGCGGAAAGTAAGACAGACACACAGACCGCTGGTCAGCTGTTCGACCGCCGGCTGTTCCAGACACTGCGGAGAACAGACATGGTGCTCGTCAGACGGTAGACAGAGACAGGCACGCAGGGGCGCAGACAGGCGGCACCTTCACACAGCTACGGAGAATGATTGGTTTGATGTTTCCCCTTCCCTCCCTCTTCCTCACCGGCAGTCCGTATAGGTCGGAGGTCCCTCCGTGTGGTTGGAGTGTCCCCTCATTTCCTCACCGACAGTCCGTGTAGGTCGGAGGTCCCTCCGTGTGGTTGACGGCCGTCAGACACCCGGCGTGGCACGGGGAGAAGTACGACTGACTGACATCCCCGGACCGGTGGCACACGGGGATGTACTCCTCCGTGGTGCAGTGGCAGGACGTGCTGCACGATGGACTGATGTCGAGCGAGCTGCAGACGAGGTGGGAGATGGTGTTACCAGAGGTCAGGGCGGCGGAAACAAACATAAATGAAGCGTTACGTCACCATGTTCTGTAAGCTCCTAAACGTACGCCGTAGAGCATACCACCGTATCGAACAAAATAAAAGTTGAAAAAAAAACAAGATAGTGTAAATCGAGATGAAGCTGAACGACGCATTTCCAGTAGAAATTATGATTATGCCTACGTTTTTGGGTCAGACAGTACAGGAAAGTACATTCATCTCATGCATACCGACTGGAAAATAAAAATTACCACCGCAGCGTCCATCTCACCCGTCTGATGTCCGGAGGCCGGGCAGGTCGTCGGCCACCCCGCAGGTCACCGCCAGGTTACAGAGGAACACACCAGTTGCCACCAGTCGCACCACCACAATGGTGCCCGTCACCAGGCGCGCGTTCGGCCGGTAGCGGCGCATCAGAAACCCGGAACCAATGGTGCCAAACACCAGCGTCACCTTGCTGATGGCTGGAGAGATGGAGAATGGCGTCAGTCTAAAAGAGAAATGGTGGTTGGCGATAAAAAAAAACGAGTTGAACTGGCAAAAGCTTTACTGATATTTTTCGCTTTGCAAAATGGCTTTGCATGCCTATAAAGTCGTTGTCACCAGTCCTCGATAACTATTACCTGACTAATTAACTATGCATATCCAAATTGCGATCCTCATCAACTTAGATTCTCAGTTTATAGCGAAAACCTTTCAACTTCTGTAGGCATTCTCATATTTACATAGGTATGAGATGAGAACCAGTACCTATTGCCTTAGTGATCATGGTATGCCTACTAAGTAACGCAGTACGCGTTGCATGCCAATATGAACAACGTGACATTCATGCATCAGGTCTGGCAGTGCCATGTCACGTACTCTATTGCCCTCGAAGTAATATGAGTTCTAAACATTACTGTACCTAAATATGCGTCGACACACTTGAGCGTATATGCATGAAGCTGCAAAATGCCGCGTGTTCCGCGTTCGTATTATACGTTCATACGGATATTTGATGTCAGCAATGTGCAAATAGTCAGCATTCAACCTAAATGTCCCATGATATTAGAACGTTGCAACCTACTCTGAGACGAAGAACCTGCAAACTATTTCACTTTTATCCGAAATAAGCCGCCGACTCGACCATGGTTTATCCATGCTTTATGGCTACCGGACATAGTGAGCCGACTCCCTAAAATTCATCACAACTACGTATGAGTTTTATCTTCGTCGATTTAGCATCCTCACTCCTGAGCCAAGACGATTGACGGTTGTTAGAGCCAGTGCACCGATGAGCTGCCGATAAGGTAGTCACTAGTTATGATGCAACACATACAACATAGTTCGGCGCTGAGTCCGGTACCCACCCGAATAGGTGGTGGCCGTGGCCTTGTCCACGCGGAACTGGTGCTCCAGGTACTTGGGCTGGTACGTGAAGAAGCCCAGGATGGCGATCAGGAAGAACATCACCGAGAAGGTTGACGACATCAGGATCACGTTCTTCAGCAGGCCCGTGATCCGCGTCACAAACTCTGGAAAAGAGAACACAGAATGATGATGATGATGATGATGATGATGATGATGATGATGATGATGATGATGATGATGATGATGATGATGATGATGATGATGATGATGATGATGATGATGATGATGTCATTCCCCCTTCCCCTACCGCCACCCCCACAGCCGCCCCACCGGCACCTTCAAGGCCCTTTATAGCGGCACCTACCTCTGATGATGATGCTGATGATGATGATGTCTCTTACCCCCTTCCCTACCGCCACCCCTGCTGTCCCGCCGGCACCCACCTCTGCGCGAGGGCCGGATGTTGGCCTGCCGCGCCGTCTCCCTCATCTGCTGCCGCTGTCCCTCCGACAGGTGGTCGGTGCTCAGTTGCCGCGGGAACAGCGAGATGAGCCAGCCGTACAGACAGACCACGGAGGCGATCACCAGCAGGCCGATCCACCAGGCGCCGATCCAGCGCTGGTCCTTCTCCGTGATACCTGGGGAGAGGTAGGAGCAGCGGTCAAATAATACAGCGAAACGATCCGGCGCTGGTCCTTCTCCGTGATACCTGGGGAGAGGTAGGAGCAGCGGTCAAATAATACAGCGAAACGATCCGGCGCTGGTCCTTCTCCGTGATACCTGGGGAGAGGTAGGAGCAGCGGTCAAATAATGAGAGCGAAACGATCCGGCGCTGGTCCTTCTCCGTGATACCTGGGGACAGGTAAGAGCAGCGGTCAAATAATACAGCGACACCGTTCCGTGCTTCTATCCTCAGGATACTGACGTCCTTCTCCTCCACGCCGCAACCCCCCTCCGGGCTGGACAGGTAACTTTATCTCATGCGGGCTGCTCCCTTGGAGCGGCACCGCTGCTCCCGAGGGAGCGCACCCCGTAGCCGGGTGCAGAGAGTGCCTTGGGGCTGGGTGGCCTGTCCTCTGGACGGGCTCAGCCCCGGCGACTCACTAGGGTGCCTGCCCAGACCAATGTCTCCCCCCTAATTCCTATCATCCTTCCGGCTCTGCAATGGTCTTGTCAGACCGAAAGTGCCTAACCCAACAAAACAAAACAAATAAACAAATAATACAGCGAAACGATCCAGCGCTGGTCCTTCTCAGTGATACCTCTGGGGCGACGTGGGAGCATCGGTCAAAGACTCAAGGGATTAGGCCAAAAAGGATTAGATCCCTGGCCCTTCTCCAAAGTAAGTGCATGCGTCGAGACAGCGACCTTGGTCATGGATTGAGAGCATGGGTCTCGTTCTGGTCCTCCAGTGATACCTGTGCCAGGGTGGATACATCGGTCACTGAAAATGGAAAGACCCGCCACTGGCCCTTTTAAGTATCTATACCTACGTCGGGATGGAAACTATGGTCACGTAAAATGTGAAAGGATTCAAAGTGGATGGGCTTGCCGCCAACACTCACAACCAAGAAGGGCAATATAAAATATTTGTTAGCAAAGCTTTACATTTCACCAACCCTGACCACAACTTCATCGTGGGTAGGTACTGTTATGAGGAATAGATCACATGCACAATCACGACCGTTCTAAGAAAGTCCATCTGCTGCCATATGGTATGTGAGTTGAGCACGTATCTATGTTGAGCTGACACAGATGTAAAATACGTTTCGAATTTTTGACATATTTTGATTTATTTATTTCATTTACCCGTTCGAACGTAGGTGGTAACCGGCCACTAATTACGGTAACGATATATTTACTGAAACGAACCGACGGAGTCTCGCCTATCAGTAAAGTAAGCTTTGTCTCACCTGGGTCGACGGAGGGGTTGACGTAGACGGAGATACATGACGAGGCCAGCATATAGCCGAGGATGGGGCCGATCACACGGGCAGCGCCGGCCACCGCTGCAAAATGGGGACAGACATGGGGTGACAGAGTGACAGACAGAGTGACAGACAGAGTGACAGACACTAGTGGGAGACACGTGACAGAGTGACAGACAGAGTGGGAGACACGTGACAGAGTGACAGACAGAGTGAAAGACACGGTAACAAGCATGGGCCCCTATTCCTTCGAGCTGGGCCCCTCAACTCGAATGGGGGGGGGGGGCACGGGCCCGTGTGCCCCCCCCCCCTTATGTGCGCCCTTGGGTCATTTCAACAGTTTTGGAAACTGCCAACGGTTAACTCGGGAACCAATAGAGCTACAGCGCCACGGAAAAGCGCATTCGATAGCCCTTTCACAGACCTTTCTGAATATCGCTCTCACATGTGACCTCAGGTCAACGTTTTAGCCTCCAGAGAGCAAAAACTGTAAAAATAGCCGTTTTCACGAAAAAGGTTTTTCGGTAATAACTTTTGAATCAAGCAAGCCACGACATTACTTTTGCCAGCATCGTGTTCCTCTCGTCGAGACGCGTCGAATAGGTCAACTATTCGCTGACCTTGAAAGGTCATTTTGAGAATTTGAACTCAGGTCAAGGTCATGACCTGACCGGAAAGGGAATTGTTGCATGTTGTATATCAGTCGATCCGTATCGTCGAGTTGAATACATCTAACGTATTTTCATCGCTCTAGCACGTCTCTAGCAAACGCTATAGCAAAAAAACTGTTGGTGACCGTTCGTGACCTGAGATGACCTCAGGGGCACGCAGAGCGGTCACAGGTGCATTTTTCCGATTCATTGTGTCGTTTTTACCCATGAACCGATGCTTGAGAGGGTTTTGAACACCATTCGACTACAAGAGGCGCATTTCAATTTTCTCCCATTGACTTATGTAATGGAGAGATCGCAAAATTGACCTGAGCTTATGTCAAGGATATCAAAATTCCGAGATATACATTTTGTATATACTGTTACTTTTATCAATCGCTGTAAGCCGTTTGAAGACGATCGTTCAGCCGGTGTAGCTCTGACGAGGATTGAAACTTTTTCTGAGGTGAGGTCACTGCCACTGGACGTGACCTGGTGACCTGACCTTGAGAGCCCTGGGTCTGAAATTTTCACAAAATGTGCGGAAAAGATGCATAACAGGTGTGCTAAAAACGACGGCACTCCGCGCCGCCGTTTTAGAGATATCTGCGAAAAATCGCATGGGGGTGTTCGAACACCCTCCCCCGGCCCGGCGCGGATTAACCCAAGACGGTTAGAACTTAGATTTTCTCCCTTTATCTACCTTCCTCCCAGCCCCTTATAGAGTTCACAAATATTATGGTCTAAGACTTTGTAAGGGTTTGCTGAATACACTGCCATTCGGTCGTTGAACTGCTAGCGCGGGCTATACACGTCGGCAGTGGTGGCGCGCCGGTGCGGCCTTTTTGCCGCATCACGCCGGCCAACAAAGACGAGGCTCGGTATTTACCGGTGCCTCGGCGCACCAGCCGCTGACTAGCCGTGTGTCTGGACTGCAGGTCACTGTGGGTTTCGCTGGTATAGACGCCGTGTTCGTGCAGCCAGGATGTCGACTGGCTCTACCCTAGCCTGGTCGTATCGTGCCTATATACAAAGATAGAAATTCAATTCCAATGTTTTTTTTTGGGGGGGGGGAGGGCGGATTAGATGACCGAGACTTGCATCAACGAATGCTCAGCTACGTGACTGGGGTCACCGGTTAGACCTCAGTCAAACCGTTTGCAGACTTCACTTGTTACCCGGCCTTGAGGATTTTTTAACTGGTTGAAAAATTTCGTTTATGCTACAATTTTCTCTATGAATAGTTACAATTTTAATGTTAGGCCATTCATCCCTCCCCCCCCCAAAAGAGTGAGTCCAGTAGTTCATTTTTGCCACGCGTATGTAAATCGTCATAGACGATCACTAACGCTGCTTGCAACTGAGATGGTTCACTAAAGGACATAATGTGGAGTTTGCTAATGTAATAATTGAATGAGGACTTTACTCCACAAGAAATCGTTCGGGTCGGAGCTTTCGAATTGTATTGCAAAGCTTCGTCAGCGTATCGTAATCGGGTTCGGGGGTATCGGTCGCAAAATCTTTGCGACCGATACCCCCGAACCCGATTACGATACGCTGACGAAGCTTTGTAATACAATTCGAAAGCTCCGACCCGAACGATTTCTTGTGGAGTAAAGTCCTCATTCAATTATTAACTGAGAGGGTATTAACACCAGTCTGCTAGCGTGGATTGTCTTGCCCTCACTATCAGAAAAAAAATAACACACACTTACTCGAGCAACTGAATGTCCCAAGAGATCACGTGTTGTTTTATTTTGGTGTTAAAAGATGTGACAACAGATGATCTTCAAAACAGCTGAGCTGGAATGCAGCCTGCTTACCAAAGAAGAGTGGCGAGTCCTTTTGTGAGACGCCGTCATCCATGTATGGTGCACTGACGACGAAAATCGTCTGAGCGCCAGAGGCTGAAACGAAAGGACATCGCGTTAATGGGGGAAGGGGGAGGGGCACTGCTGGGGGAACATGCACACGGCCCTACGAAAGATTACCTATCAAACTGAACGTCTGGTTACCCATTTTCAATGTTCAGTGGTGGAATATTTAGTATTTACTTATCTAGCACAGATACCTATAGTTATGCGTGGGTGAGCATGACCTGTTTGTACTTCATCCTCACATAAAACTTTTAGTATAGGTAATGTCGAGAAGACACGACAACAACACCTTCCCATTTTTTACCAGCTTACACTCCTACTGAATCTCTTTGCTACTTCCGATCAAGGGCTTAAAATACCGACCAGTAGCAATTTTAAAGGGCAAAAGGACTGCATCTTCGTTCAATCGATACATATTTTCTGCTTGGAAAAATCGCAGTCGAGCATCTCCTATCTGCATTTAGAAGGTTCAGTTAAAAACATCGGGAAACATTATCAATCTGCAAGTCACGTTCATTATTATCCCACCGCTGTGAAGAGAGCGGGGTTCCTTCCCACAAACAGGTTTGTGTTTCTCTGAATCGACTCAGGTTTAACCCAACCAGCCGGGAAACATGCAGTAAAGACGTATAGTCTTCATTTGGAAACCAAAGTAGTTGAGAAAGCTATGTCTCTGAGATTGTTGCATTACCTAAATTTAAAGTAAATGATTGTTTTTTCTAGGTTTCTTGTCTGTACGTGCGTACTATGAGAAAAAGGTTCGTGCGGACATTTTGGCAATGATTTTCAACAGCCATAAAACGTATTCATCAATGCAGATCCATTATTGTAGTGTTGACAACCAAACACTTAATAAATGGACCTACCGGTTTTATGAACTTAAAATAAGCATTGCAAGTCAAATTTATGGCTTGTTCAATTTCAAAACCTAATAAGTATACAACATTAGGGCAGGAATGTCAACTTCGAGCCTTCACAGTGCACACAATACACATACAAGTTGTAGACAACATAGATTCAAGTCAGCATTCTTCACTAAACTAAACTTTGCTACAAATGTCCGCTATTTGGTAAATAACCAACGGCTACAATGCATGTGCCGTGCCGTTTTCCCAAGTGTACTCGTATGCAGCAGTGTGCTGAGTGTACCGGGTGCCAGCAGTTGGCCCAGCACTACCCACCCGTCCGTGGTCCGATTTTCGCGAGTGACCAACTGAAACTGCCCTGTCATGGCGCGACACAGTTCCGTGACACGTTTCCCCGCCGCACGTCCATTGGAACGACACAGAAAAAACGAACGAACAAAAGGCGAGACCTCGATGGGCCCATAGAGGAATGCGATCGTAAAGACGAGATATTATGGTTCACTGCTGTTGAATGCCTGTTTTTTTTTCGGAAACGAGGCTTTTTCCTAAAATTATCCGGTTTCAGATAAGGTAATTTCAGGTCCGAGATCCAGAGAGCTTTGACAGGCTATAGGCTGAACTCTAAAGGTCATATCCTATCAAGGCATCCTTGAGCCATTATGATTAGGCATGCATGCGCTCGTATATCCAATCACCATCGAGTTCGGCCACTCCTGTTACACATTTCTCAGGTCTGAGTAGCTGAAACGTGCCCCGTCCAAACTCGATCGATCACCTGACGTAGCCTACCGTCACGCGCGCCACGTTCCGTCATCGCACTCGTGACGTTCAGCCTGTCTGACATGCCCTTGGTAACGCCCTGTGACGCTCGCTCTCGGCATGTACATTGCACTGCCACTAAAAACGAGCAACAGAGAACGAAAAATGATGCGGTCGTTTCTCAACGACATTGGTGGAGTTAAGAACTTGTGCTTGCATTCATGTCGATGAACTGAGGTCTGAGCGTGAGCGATTCGGCTGTGTATTCGATGTTTGGTATACTTGAGCGATTAACGAGCTGTGTGTCCCAGCATGAGTGGACCGACTAACTGTTCAGCCATTCTCATGCAGTTAACAAACGGCCCGGGTTAACAGTTAATAACAGTTAACAACAGTCCAGGTTCAAAGCGCGACGGGCGCTTGACGTTCATGAGCCTCCTGACAGGTATGGTTGCGGTTGGTGGCAGGCCGTAGCCAGGCCAGGCGAAGTCAGCATGAGGGGACCGGCCGAGTGCGGCTATGTGCGCGCGCACGTTAAAATTTGGACTCTAAATTCTGCCATAGTACTGGAATTGCGCGATCGGAGGGTAGAGGGCAGGGCCAACGCAACAAGCTTCGCTTAGCGATGGCTCTGTCCTTGTGAATCCTTCCATCCAAAAGGTTCGGACTAAATTTATTTAAAAAAAAAAAATGCGCCCCGACTCTCGTCATGTTACACCTCCTATAGTTCAGCAGTGGGATAGGTAGGTACCTACCGGTTTAGTGTGTCCGCGATGACGAAGCAGTCTCGCGCCGCCCCAGGGCATATACCTCCAGCAGCTGGCCAACGATGGCGTAAAAACCGGGCCTGCTTCGGCCGACCGGGCCCAGGGAGCCACGCCATACACGAAAACTACGTCTGATATAGCCGATACGTCAGTGAGCAATGCTGCGAGATGTCTTGGAGAAAAGGAAAAGTAACTAAAGGGAGCGAGATGCCAAAGTGACTGATCCAGGGAAATTTACCAACTGAAAATAAAAATATTATGTTTAGCATGTCCTGCATTCTCTCCTCTGGCAACACGATTAATCAATCAGCGAAGACTGCGGGGAAATGGGCTAAAGAGAATGCTCAGCTTCAGGGACACCATATTTCTCCTTTTCCCAAGGCCTTTGGAAACTCTGGGAAACAGCATTTGACCTCGAGTTCGGCGGCAGTAGGCCGCAGAGCGGCGGGACGCACGCTAAGTGGTCCTCGTGTGCGTTGTAAGTTGAACTTTGAAGGTCACAATCGCGTATTTTCGGAAAGAATGCTACGCATGCAGCATGAAGGACGATGGAGGAAAACAATGACAGCAGCATCTTTCTCTCCCTCTTGTTTTCACGTTTTCACGCCCCATGACTTGCTATTTCTCATTCAGCATGCACTATGCACAATATCTGTCTTATTCCAATATTGGCGGTTATGCACCATCTAGCAGCTCATGCACCCCTGGTGCCCGCAGCTCTCTGAATTGCCAGCTCGACGCAAGTCACCCTGAGTTGCCAGGCGGGCCGTCGCATGGACCTGTGCGCGGGTTGGACCGGCTGGTGGCCGACGGGTAGTGCCGACTGCCGAGTACCGTTGCCTGGCCGGGTCAAGCTCAGGAGCTGGGATGTCCGATTCGTTTCCTTAGTACCGTGATTGGGCAGTTCTGGATGGAGAGTCTCGTCGAGCTGGGTCAGGTGCCGGTTCAGCCCGACAGCCAGCGGTTGGACAAGGCTCATAGAGTGGCCAGCACATGTAGTAAGAGAGCATCGGCGAGAGCATCGGCGATCCAGACAGGCGACATAAAGACCCGAAATTAGCAAAGCATTAGTAAGGCTCCTCCGCTAAAAAATCATAAATGCTCCATTTTGTACGCTCCCAGCGGGGAACATGATGTGTCAAATGCATACATAGATCCGTTAGTCCTAGAACAAAGTGTGTGTAATGAGAGAAGTCTGAGGTCCAGCCGGCTCAGTGGGACAGCGGCGGAGCTCTGACCTCCGTGTCAGAACTACACCGTAACCCACATAGCGGCCGCGGAGAAACGTGACTGACTTTTATGTAGGCACGCGACTGGGAAGATAAATAGGCTCACTTCAACACTCATGTGGCTTCGTGACTTGTCGAGAGGAAAATCATCCTAATCACTGTCACCAACCGCGTCAGCTGACAACCAGAAGTGACAACTATACACGGAGGTGAAATGCCATCGAGGAGGTTATTCGACTTTGATGAGTTCATTTTACAGTCGCTCAACCTGAATGTGTAGTTATAAGGGTGACCCGATATGATAAGGGTTACCTATAGTTCTCTTTTCAATTCCTCGTTATGGTGTAAAAGGTTCCGTGGCTCCTGCATGGTTCCGTGTATTATGGTTAAAGAAGAATGAGCATTTTACCAGCGTCGTTATACAATGACGTGAGCATTACTGTCGAGTATGACATCCAGCGAGTCTGTGACATGGTTCGATGGCTTTCGTGTGCTCCACTGTGGTCCAGGGTCGCCGAGTCAGTCAGAGCAGAACGGTCACGTGCAGCTCACGGGACGCAGCAGGGGTCCGAGCGGAGCATGGTTATTGTGAGAGCTGGCCCACAGCTGGTAGGTAGTTGCACATTACCAGGAAATGATGTGTATTCTAGTCAATGCAACTGCAGGATCCAGTTGTGTGAGCTAAGCCACAGCAAAAGCCATTAGTCAGGCGTTATCAACAACGGGAACCACATGTTGCTGCTCTAGTTTACAATGGGAACCATGGGTTACTTAGTGAACGAATCCACAACGGAAACCAGAATCCACAGCAGGAGCCAGATGTTACTGTATGAGCTAGTCGATAGCGAGAACCAGGCGTTGATTGATTTGTCGGCCTGTAGGTACCATACAACGGGAACGTGATACTGAATGAGTTAATTCACAGAGAAACCCAAGGCTTATTGTGTGAGCTAGTCAAAGCGGGAACCGGGGCGGAGCTTGTGACAGTTCCCATGAGAGTTATTGCCAACTGCTCTAGTATGGGGCACTTGAACGGAGCGTGCTGTGATTGCGATTGTGACCTTAGCACTGTAGCCAGTCTACATACTATACTATGCCTTCAGAGAAGGGAACAATGATGAATAGCCATGACAGCAACTGAACGTTGCTTCTATATGCACGATACTCGTAGTTTTAATAAAACGCTCACGACTCAGTGCCTCTCCCGGCCTTTCCGTGGCGACACCGGCATGGTCATAAAGGCTGTTACAAAACACGCACTGGCATCACGCTACAAAGCATCACAAAACACCGAGCGGAAGTGCACCATAACGCCTGTAGCGCAGCTCGCCGAGCGCTCATCTGACCTTCATGCTCAATGTTCATGTTCCGCCCAGCTCCTTCTATCCTATCTGCGCTATGCGCATGGCCCGTCCGCTTCAGCGCCTTGGGCCCTTGGACTCCGACCTATTGAATAACCATCGGCCGTCGTCCTACTACTGAGACGATGAGCTGGCTATTAACATCCCAGTTAAATAATTTTAGCAATGGAATTTAAAGTAAAATGTCCAAAGAATGCACTGAGCAAAAAATTGTCCAGGTGACGTGGAACAAAAGTTATTTAGCAAATAAAATTATCATTCTGGCGACTTGTCCCGGACCACCCAAACTACTGCACACTGGCACGATATTAAAATTATTCTCGAGGTATTTTATGCACAAACGCAGGTAACCCTAACAACTTAGACCCTAACCACCACCGGCAGACAGTGGGCCAGGGAGCTGCTTCGGTGGATAAATGCAAGGCAAAGTTCGTCTGACGGCGCTAGCCTTGACCGGCTGTGTGACAGCCATTTCAGGCCTGCAGCTTTGATTGCAGGGTGAGCAGCGTTTACCCTTGAAAATGCGTAAACAAGAAGAGAACGAAAACAAATGTTGAACTCAGTAGCGGCGGAACACCTTCAATTAGGGGGGGGGGGGGCACTGCCGACTTTTAGTCCCATTCTTTCCATGTAACGCCCATAGGGCTAATGTTGAAATTCCAAAATCAAAGGGGGGCACGGAGCCCCGGTGCCCTCCCCGTTCCGCCGCCTATGGTTGAACTACAACGCTCGTACTCGACATATAAAGGTATGTTGCACTGTACAGAGTGGGATTTCTTAGAATCGCTACTTCTCACCTTCGGCAAATTTTCACCGCAGGCGCTTTAATTATTTCCTGTGGAATAATTTGCTACACGAAATGAATACTTCCAAAGGAGTAAGATCAAAGCGTAAAGACATAAAGACAAAAAAGTTAAGTATATAGCAACATATATTGTTAATTAAGAGATATATCTGGTGTGCTATGAAACTGTTTTTCAGTGTTGTTGAATCTATAAAAAAAAACTTAAAGTCACGCCGAAGACCGTTTCCAGTTTTAGTTTCGTGCTACACTACACTAGCCCAGACAGTCAAAACACTCACCGCACAGGATATACATCAGGCTCCAGAGGAGGCCGCCACTCACCGCACATGATGTACATCAGGCTCCAGAGGAGGTAGCCGATGTTGCTGCCGCTGCTGTCGATGGTGCAGCTCCGGGTGTCGTTGAGGCCATACTCGGGCCCCGTGCCGTCGGCGGAGGACAGCAGGCGCAGTTCCGTCTCCACGCACAGACGGCGGCTCTCAGCCGTGTTATCACGGATCTCCGGAGCCGGCACCACCAGGTAGGAGACGAACCCCAGCAGCAGGCCGCACGTCACGATCCCCATGCCGATGCCCATCCAGCGCGGTCGGTTTCCGTGACTGGCCAGGTAGCTGAGGAACACCGAACTCAGCAGGGGACCCAGCTCACCGATGGAGGGGAGAAAACCCGTCTGCTGACTGCTGAAGTGGAAGTGGCGCTCGATGGAGGTCTGCACGCCGATCAGGTAGGTGAACACCATGGCTTGGAAGACGTTCTTGAGGCAGAAGAAGAGGATGAAGACGTGCCGGGAGGCCAGCCGCTGCAGCGGTGCCGGGTAGAAGCCGAGGCCGCCGCAGCCGGTTGGAGGGTCGTCATCGTCATCAGCCAGCTCCTTGGAGGGGAGCGCGCCGCTGCTAACGGCTCCTCCGTTTGTATTGCGCCCATTGGTGGTAGATTTGGCCTCTTCAGCCGTCTGGCCACCTTCGTCGAGGGTCACGTCCAGTGGGTTGGTGGCCCCTTCCATGACTGATGGCACTAACACTTGGCTGTTGGTTTATTTGTCAACACGGCACACGGTCGGTTACTGCAGTACGCCGTCACAAGAGACTAAAACCGTTCACAGGTGTCCACAACTGTCTACAGGTGCCAACACTATTGTCTACAGGTGTCCACCTGTTGTCCACAGCAAAACACGCTCACACACTCCGGCACACTCCGTGACGCAAGCACTCTAAAAGTCCCTGACCCCGACCTAGCCCCGGCGGTGAGGGAGAGAGCTGACTGCGCGTGCGGCCGACCGACGCGGCGACGCGTTCCCAACTGAGTGTTGTCGACGCCGCCAGTCGAGGTCACAGCGCAGCGGCGCCGAGCGCGCACGGCCAGTTACGGCGGTTATGTAACTCCACCTGGAGTCGACACCGGACCGGGGGCTGTTGTTCGATTAGATCGGCGATTGTTGGTCGGTAGCATGATACAAGAGACGGGGGCTTGTCGTATGGACGTGCTCTCCAACCAACCGATCCCTGCCTCGGGTATTGGTAACGGCAGCACGGTTACTAACAGGGAGAGAGGCAGAACTCACCTGTCACAAAAAGGAATACCATTACCTTCTTTGGGCTGCTCAAATGCAGAATGACCAGTCATTGACCAGCTAAATCCCATAAAGCTTTCTTAGCCCTCCGCGGACTAGAGGCTCATGCCAGTCACTTTTTATCATTTAGACGGGGCTGGACAGCCCGACAAACGTATTTTCTTACAACTGAACGTTTTTTTCCAAGCTATAAACCCTCGCTGGCCGAGAGGTGCGAGTGCCGCACCGTTTTTTTTCGCGATAGGTCGGAAAACACCAGCGATAGAGAGCTGAAACTTGGCATACCTACCTGACCTGTGATTTTGGCCGAATCTTTTGAAAAAGATTCGGCTAAAATGAAAGGTCAGGTAGGTACCTAGTCTACAGGGTGTCTCAAAAGTTCGTTCACACATTTCCCATGCCAATAAAGCATATAAGAACCGGCCAAAAGTATAAGGTTTTGGTGTCTGTGTGTACACTAGACAAATATGCATGCTTTGACAACTGATTAAGAAGGTTGGAAACCAACCCCTTTGCTGTATCTCCAAAAATATTTGCCCATACCGATTTTTGTTGCTCCGTCAGCTGCCGGAGGCTGATAAAAGGTTACCAGCTTTCAAGCTCTTGCAAGGGAATCCCCTGCAGTTTCTGCGTCGGATTTAGTTTTGACTAGCTCCCCGGCAACATATGATTTCCCCTGAAAGCCGACAGCTTGCATCGACACCATTCTTGAGTATTTTGTAGGCATTCTCTGGCGCTAACTCCTTCATGAATGACTGGCGCCGACATCCCAAGCGCCATTTTCCTTTTCAAAACGACCCCGGTCCTGAACAAACGGGAAGTACCAGGAGTAAATTTTTCGCATCATATGGTAGCAGAATGTGTCGGACGTCTGTTTCTCAGACACATTGTGCAAATTTTGCAAATTCCAAGCGCTCGTCATTCCCCATGCCAAGACCTTCGCTCGGTTGCGGAGTGTTTTCCTCGGGAGATGTTCTGCTTTGTAAACGGCCCAAACCTGTCCATCGTGTGGTTTTATCGGGATTTTGTGTTTAAAAGAAAATTATTCGCTGCAGATCTGCCTCTTGAAACTTCGTTACATAAAATTTTACAATAACTGACACTTTTGGAGGGTCAGGTGTCCTTGGCATTGACGATTTTTGTGTTATTATCCCCAAAAATTAGCGTTATAGATATTATAAACAATTTTAAATTATAATTTGTCTTTATTTTACGATGACCTGCACTTTTTGAAAATGGGCAACCTCTGTCTGTGACCTTCTTGCCAGTTTTCAATAGTTATGACCGCATTTTCAGCTGCTTTCCGGAACACGAGTCTGCTGTCGTGCGAGGGTCGTTCAAAACGCCGTTAGTCTCGCATGGTTTCGTCCTTCAAAAATTTTAGCCACCGTTTTTTATGAGATGATCATCATGTTGCACTCATCCTCGCCGACACTTAGACATGTGTCATTTCCGACTTAACCATTCCCATTACTCCTGAAACAGAGAGTTTCACAACATACCCGACTTTGCAACCTACATTTTCGTGCCTGACCCATGGTCAGAGGTGAACCCTTTTTGTGAGCTCATGAAGGGTCGAATGCACTTGAAAACAATAAGACTGCTTGAGGAAGGTTGTCACCAATGCCCATGCAAAATTTCGACTGTTAATTTCTTGTTGATTCAGAATTATTGACAAAAAAGCATGGCTGGTACCTGTGAACGAACTTTTGAGACACCCTGTACATAAACACTTATCACATTTTCGGGCCAGGTCAGGTCACTGACCTATAACGTCATAAGTAAACCTCTGCACGGTACTGAAATGTCGCAGCTTCGTAACGCTCTCAGTGCCAGAGGAGCTTTCACAGCGAGATATGACGAACTTACAGGCCCTAGTATCCTCGAGAGGTCTCATAGCTTGTATACCTATCTCGGATTTTTCCGAAAGGTCACATGATGTCTTACCATTATAACCCAATGGGGGAAAGATGGAAACGCCATACCTACCTACATTTTGGCGTCGGGAATGATGCAACATGTAAAACTATCGGAATCGTGATTTCATCCACTCCTTGAGATGTCTGATGTTTCGCTTTTGCATTGTTGACCACTAAGGTCATACTAGCTTTTCGTCAATAAATAACTCCCGATCAAATTGAGCTATCGAGTCAGAAAAGCCACCAATGGACTCGGAACGACCTGCCAAATCGAATGATATGCAATATGACCTCCTCCGAACAGTTTCGTGACCTGAGAGGCTCTGACCTGACCTTGACCGGAGGTAAACACCATCATCACCCAACAAAAGTATACCATTCGACGCGTCAGAGCTAGACCAACACGAGAAATGAGATGACGGCTCTGCGACCATTTTTGGCGAATTTATTTACCAAAAATCGAACCAGTCCTTGAGCCACTTGACCTGACCTCAGAGGTCACCGGTTGGCGGTTAACCTGAGACCTTAAAATCGGGTACCAATCGCTGCGTCTCGCAACGGCGCACATGTTCGTTTTTTACAAGCTGTTCCAGCTCAGTTAGGGGCGAACCGGCGAAGGGGTCGTATCTCTCCCAGCCGTTCAGCTCCTGCTCGACCTAGAGCTCACCCATCAGTGTATTGGCACGTCACTTGTCGCACAAAGTCTGGAAACGCCGACATCTAATGAGCCGACATGTGAGCCGACACCGACTAATTAGCGCCGACATCGTCGAATCGCCATTGTTGGCTGACATGATCTCTAGAGCTTCGTGAAAAAAAAAAACGAGTGTTGCCTGCGGCTGGAGGAAGCCAAGGGATGATACCAAATTTTCAGGTCCTGGGTATGGTTCAGCTTCCAGGTCAGGTCAATGACTCAAAGTCGGGTAAATAGGGACCTGCTATACAAAAGGTCATAAAAGGTCAATTTTATAGTCTTTTTAAAGAGATTGCTACGGGTTGGTCAGAACGTGTGAAGCTCGCACCTCCAAATTTGGTATTTGTGCTGACCCACAATGCATGACTTCCGGCCAAACATGGTCTCCAGAAACAGGTGACAGGTCAAAGGTCATTGGAGCTAATGTCATCAAATTTACAGGGTAGGTGTAAAATTGACCAACTCGAGGGTACTACATAAGTTTCGCCGCCCGATGGGTCGCTTTGTATCCGAATTATTCGTGAAAACGCGAGGGGAGGTTCACCCTCCTCTTCCCTGCCTACCAGCGCGACAGTTGAAGCATTCTGGATAGCCACACTCTCACTGCAGGGTAAATGGTAAGAACTTGGGATCATTGATCAATGATCAGTGCTCATATCGCCACGCACCGATCAGAACGTGTGAAGCTCGCACCTATGCTCGCACCCCTTATCTCGATCGCTGCGCTCTCTGGACCGGTGGGCAGATGAGAGTTACACATTCGCCGCTAGGTGCCGCGCCTTGTCGGTCAATGCCATTGCGTGGGTTAGATTAAATTACGAAGCGACCCCTCCAAGACCCATGAGACGGACTAAAGAAATATGGATTTGTTATACACCGATTCTTTAGTTACTGAAGGTAGATTGGCATAGTGTTACGGCCTGGCGCGGTAAAAGCGTTCCAACTCGGTGCCAGCCACTTGGTCTCATGGCACTTCGACGCTGTCAGTAATCATTCTCAAACGTATCGAGGACAGCACACGCACCTCAAATCATCGAACTCTAGCTAGGCAGGGTGGCACGCCCGACCCTATCCGCGAGCAATTGACACAGATGCGGTCATGAATGCGGTGCTTCTGTCCATACCAACGTGGGGATGGAATTCATGCAGCCCTTACGAAAGCGTCGTCTGCCCCATCCGGACACAGACCCGTGCTATGGGCCGAACATGAAATGTCCCATGCTTTGCATCCGCCCCATTCAGTCGGCCACATGTATAATGGTACTCGTGTTCACATGGGCCCAGGGCCATATAAGCGTATCCGTAGTGACGGGCTTATTACTGGTGACGTAAAATAGTGCCTTTTAGTCGTGCCCTTCTTCATAAATGTCACCTGCACTTTGAATAAATGGCATAGCCACTGCGCTACAACCTCAGCTATTGCTTTCGATTCCTATTCACATGTGGTCCTAGGTAACACTGGGCCCTGAAGGACCTATAACGGGTCTCACGGGCGAGTCGCCAGGTGGTGCCTATAGTGAACCGAAGCATGACTAAACATCGATTAGCAGCCATGAGAACGCCGAAAAAATCCCTCAATTTTACGCCCGCATGACTCTCTATCGAGGCCCGTTTGGTTCACCGGCTCCCCTATTCACCCACCATAATAGAGGAAGGACTGACATCCGGCCAACCTTTCAGGCTTCTCAGTCATTGAAAGGAAGCGCCCAAGGACCTCCGCATCCACCTAAACACGGCTGGGTGTCATATCGCATACATTCCTGTATTAAAAACGCGGCACAGTCCATTGACAAGACACAGCGTGGGCAGGCGAGGCGCCCCAGGCGCAAACAACACGCGGCGCAGTGCGCATGCGCCAACAGCAGAGCACAACGGCAGCCAAATAAGACCGACTCCAGCCGGCAGAGTCCAGCGGGCCAAAACCGGACCCGACCGGACCCCGCGGACTGGCGGCGCGCCGCGCCGGGCCCAGCGAGGCCCCGCGCCAGCGCTAAGGCGTTTCCTGAGCTGCCGAGGCCGCAGCCGAGCGGCCGGCGAGGTAAGACCCTTCCACACACACGCATACACACCGGGCGCCCGGCGAGGGCCCGCATCAGCATATAACGACATATCATCGACACACGATCTCTCGCTCTCATAAACTTCGCGTAGAAAAATAGACCGTTTGGCCGGGGAGGGTATGGCGGGGGATGTGAGGGGGACGGGGGGGGGGGGGGGGGGGGTCAGTCGCGGCTCATGACCTGGCCGTGAACCTTGCCCTCCCAGAGGGGCAGCGGCGCAGAGTCGTCCGATACCTCCTCCTGGATCACACCCGTCTCAAAGTCGGGACACTCAGTCTTGAAGAAATACCTGGCGGGCGCCGGCGGAGAGGGGAGGTCAGCGAGGGGTGGGGGCGGCGTGGCTGGGTGGGGTGCGAATAAAGGGTCACAAAAACGGAAGGAACGTTACGAGCTCTGATTGGAAACATCTACACGCAATAAGAAACCGCGTCAAAGGAAATCCTGGACGCATTTTATGGGAGAACATTCCATATTTCCGTCGGAACACCTAGCCACGTTATAAAATGCGTGCAGATTTCCAAAGATAAAGTTAGCATCTCTTTTCTTGGCAAGTAAAGAAACTAGTGATCAAGAGAGCAATATGACTTCTTCAAAACCAAATTCGCTATCCAACCAACCTCACTTCTATGATGCGTTCGCTCACCTGTAGTTGCCTTTGCGTGGCAAAAGCTGCTTAAACTGCTTAAGCGTAATGTACCTTGAGGGTACACGCGTCATATAAGGCACTTCTTCGCCACAGAACGTATAGGCAATGCACAACATTTCATCGGCGTCTCCGCGTGCTGCCGGGACAAACAGAGAGAGAGCAGGCAATAAGAGAGAGTGACCGGGTGCACGAGAGAGCGCGACGGCAGAGTGGTCGGAGACAGACAGACAACACTACAAGAACACTAGGTACACGTGACACTACAGTGCGACCGATCGCGGGGCTGACGGTGCCGGTTCGGGCTGTGCGGGCTCGGGAATGGGATGGCTGGACTGACGCGGCCCGGGGCTGAGAACAGTCTTGAAAGACTGATGCCCGAGTTAGGGTGGGCGTAGAAGATGGGTTCGAGTGGCCTCAGGTGAACGAAAGTCTGTGTTTGGGCAGGCGTTTAGGCAGGGATTGAATGGACGAATATCTCTGGGTCAGGGTGATTGCGAGTAGCACGATGACTTTCATTAGAAAGTCGAGGTTTGGGTACCTGATGGTTTTGTTAGCGAAAAGTAGTGGGCACTAGCACTCACAGATTTTATGAGCGAGGATTGGATGCATAGGAAAGAAAATACAGCCTAAGTTTGATATGTCAACGGATCTTTTGTCTGAGGAAAGAAAGGAACACGCGTCATCGCGCATTGTTGAGCTGCCGCAGCCCGGACCGACGAACTAATGACGTCATATCATGCTAAGTGCGTCTCGACCAATCACAGTTCTCCGCGCTCACCAGTTGACCAATCAAAATCTACTCGTAACTCGGCCGAAGACGACCAACATAAAATAACACTGACCACATTCTAAATCACGATAATAAATAAACAAAACATCACACTGTGCTCAATGAACAATTACCCTGCCGTGTAAAGACAAGACGAAGAAACAACCAAAACAAAACAAAAGGGATTTGAGAACCATCAAACATGTGAACGTGACTCTACATTTCAGACACAACTGAGAGCAACACAGGCGCCCTGAGTGTCTTAATTAGCCGCGATCTACGCTTAAAGCGGGCCTTACGGTGCTCTTGTGTTGCTCTCAGCTGAATCTGTCCACTAGGTGGTGCTACCTCTGACCAGTCGGGGAGAGGGTCGGTGACAAAGACAGAGGGAGAGAGGGAGAGAGGGGAGGGAGGGTGTGAACCCATCCTCACCTTGAGGCTTCGGCGGTCGCTGGTGCCGCTTCAGCGAGTTGAACGGAGCTGCCTGCATTTGGCTATCCGATAACCTGTGGGACGACGGTACACACATGGGTCAAGTTATGGTCACAGCGGCCAGCGATGCTATGGTCTTGGAGCACACGGACTGTCGTGCGGTGGTCATAGGCGCAGTACAGGTCACGTACAAGTGGATGCGCAGAGGTTAGCTAGAAAATGTTCAGTTTCCTGCAACAGCTGAATGCAATATGACACAGTGTCCCAAAATTGAGTTTTGTCTTGGGTGTCAGAGGGGAAAATTACCCACCAAAAAGAGGGGAGAGAGTGGAAAACTGCTGATTCGATTAGATCAAAAGGGAGTGAGAAATGACAAAAAGCATGCATTTTATTCTAGGGTGTAGAATGTTTGATGCTAACTGGGCATCCACACAACTGTCTTTCTATAGGTAAAAAATCTATGTTTTCTTGGTTGGGACTTGGGAGTGGAAAATTGTTCTTAAAAATGGTGGTGAGAGTGGAAAATGAATTTCATTTGGATGTCGTTTCCCACCCAAATAGACAAATTTTGGGACATTGATATGACATACATGTTTCTGTAAGAAAACCTTACACTCATAGCCGTCATCAGGCTCAGCTGCAAGAGTAACAACTCCATACACCAACAGCAGAAGCAATTGTCGGTATTCATAAGAATATTCATAAGAATTGCCTCGACGCAACCTAGCCATCAGAAAACCTCAAGCTCCTCCCACCCTCCATCCCTTTCCTTTCTCCCCAGTGCCCCTCTCCCCCGCTCTCTGACCTGCTGCGCCCCCTCCTCTCCTCCTCCGCGGCCCGGTCCAGGGATCCGGACCGGGACGAGTTGTACGGGAGGGGCGCCGCCGGCGGCCGGCGACCTGACGGCGGCATGGGAGCCGCGTGTGCCGAGCGAGCCCGGTGGCGCACAGAGGCCTCGTCCCGCTCCGTCTGCTGCATCCACATCAGCACCCTGAGGGAGGAGAGGACACCATCAGCACCATGGGGTAGGAGAGGGGACGACATCAGCACCATGGGAGAGGAGAGGGGGCAGCATCAGCACCCTGAGGAGAGGAGAGGACAGCGTCAGCACCATGGGGTAGGAGAGGGGGCAGCATCAGCACCCTGAGGGAACGAAACGGGACAGCATCACAGCATCCTGAGGGGAAGGAAGGGGATAGCATCAGCGCCAGAGGAAGGAAAGGGACAACATCAGCATCCTTAGGATAGGAGAGGTAGCATCAGCATCCTGAGAGGAAAACGGAGAAAGGGTTAGAGAGTTTAGCCACATCACCCATCGCCTTCAACGTCTTCCACAGTACCCACCTATCCACGGCCCCATCCACGGCCGTCCACCGTTATCCACCCTATCCACCGACAGAGGTCACTGCTCTCCCTATGCGCTCTCAGTTGCCATCTAGTGCCATACCCAAACCTTCCCGCCCTGTCCCGTCTCCGCCGGTAGTGGCGACTCACTTGTCGGCGGGTCGGGTGCGCGCCGGCAGCAGGTCAGCAGAGACCACTGACACTCCCGAGTCGGGGTCCATCAGCGACTGCCGACTGCGCCGCGTCGGGTCGCGCGGCGCACGGTGCGACTGAGACTCTGTAATTGCAGAGTAACAGATATATGGTCAGACTGTAGGGGTTACTTAGTGACTGCGCCGGGTCGGGTCGCGCGGCGCACGGTGCGACTGAGACTCTGTAATTGCGGGACACGGACAGACAGACGGTTAGACTGAGGCCACACTGAGGTCGCACTCCACAGTCCACAACACCCGCAATAAGACGTGTTAACAGAAAAAAGAACACAGAGCTTCGATACTGTTTAATGAGTGACATTGATGAACAAGGCTGATACATATCTAAAAGAGTACAATGAATGAATCCAAGGTATTTCAAGTAATTCTAACAATAAAACGCGGGTACAAAAGACAATAACAGAGTTTACATAACATATGGCTCTGCTTACATAACCGAGCCTATAACAGAGCACGATACGGCGGATAACACAAATCTAAATCCCATCATGTCATGAGGCTCGTCTTATATATAAAACCTCACTCTTCCCCAACAATCTCCGCTCTTTTTTGTTCACAAGCCCGATCCCCCCTCCCCCCAGCGCTCGCCACCCGTCCTCCCTCCTCCCTCCTCTCTTAACCCTCTCCCCTCATCTCCTCTGACCATCCCTCCCCCTTCCTCACCAGATCCGGAGCCGGCGTAGTCAGGGAAGGTGCGTGACTTGGTCATGTCTCTCTGACCTCGCCGCTGTCTCTCCAGGCTCAGCTGGGACGCCGCCAGGTCCTGGCCCGTCCCAGAGTCCGCCGAGAACGTCGACAGCACGTCCCGGTCCCGTCGGTGGGGCGGCGGCCGCTGGGGAGCCCGCCGCGCCGCCGCCACCGCCGGAGAGCGGGCGCCCGAGCGGGACGGCGTCTGGTGGCTGGAGTCGAATACCTTGGAGATGTGCGCGTCTGTGGGAGAGAAAAGGGGGTCAGTTTGGTAAAAGTGTCGGGAGAGAGAGAGAGAGAGAGAGAGAGAGAGAGAGAGAGAGAGAGAGAGAGAGAGAGAGAGAGAGAGAGAGAGAGAGATAGATAGAGAGAGAGAGAGAGAGAGAGAGAGAGAGAGAGAGAGAGAGAGAGAGAGAGAGAGAGAGAGAGAGAGAGAGAGAGAGAGAGAGAGAGAGAGAGAGAGAGAGAGAGAGACAGAGAGAGAGACAGAGACAGAGACAGAGACAGAGACAGAGACAGACAGACAGACAGACAGACAGACAGACAGAGGGAATGAATAAGGTGTTGTGTAGGGACACCTGCAGTCAACTGAATACCTTGGGCGTGTGTCGAAAGATGTTGCATTGAGACGTGCGGTTGCAGACGTGTGTGGGTAGCCAGGGAGGCCATGTAGAAACCAGTCACCAGCATATGGCGTTGGGTACACGCTGATGAAACTACCGACCCGTCAATTCCAGAGGCGGGACAGGAAGCAGCCAGGTCGAGCCGTCAAAGGTCGGGCCAAGTTCAGCCGGGTCAAAGGCTGGAACCATTCAGTGGGCACCGCTAAAGGTCGAGTTAACCGTGAGGCAAGTAATCGAGGAGTTGGAAACGGAAGGCGAATACAAACAGGCATGACTGGAATTTAGGGGCCACTTATCAACTGGAGGGACGAGCAAGCGGTTATCGGGTTCAGCAGTGATGCTCATTCACTGCTCAGGACGTCGCTCAGCGTTTTCCACAAGTCATCATTGTCAGTTGTAGAGACCCGGAGTAGTATGTTGGTAATTCTAACACAGCTGACTCACTACCCACGTGAGTTTAGCCACAGACAGGTAATAACGATCCACTGTCTCACGGCGTCCGACAGTATGGCGCCCAAAAATCACACCGGCCACATTTCCCTGAAAGAAGCCGCCTCTAAATACGGATAAATACTACACACTGCGCAATGACGCGGGGTTGCGCCCTCGGCCGCCTTCCTTCGTGACAACTGATGAAGTTTTTCGTCTCCACAGAGAGCATTTTTACGGAATTTACCAGTTCCCAGACGCACAATGTGCAACACAATCGGCCATTTTTGTATACCTTTCGCAGGCTAGAGGGCCGTTCTTTCTCATTCAATAGGCCATCTAGTTGCATACCGACGACAGGGCGCTTCACTTTTTCAGAGCGAGTCAATTCCCCAGTCTCACAAACGTAACCACCTTTTTGAACAGAATACAGCACCCGTGAAAGGTCTCTCTCACTCATACTGGTACAATTAGCAATAAGATACCCCTTGCTGTGCATCCGGCTGCTATAACATCTTATGTCAAACTGCCCTCATCTACAGACTAGTATCATCAAAACCTATATCAACGTAAATAGCACCGTCACTAAACCACACGGCAAAATGGAATGTACTCCCTGACCTGATGGCCGCAGTCGCCGGCCTTTTGACGCCACCTAAAGACCTTTCCTGGCCACGCAGCTCACCGAAATCCGGCAAAAGGCCGCCTCAGACACGCTCAGACTCGGTCAGACATTGAAGGGAAGCCCGCCCGTGATGCTCAGCCATTCGCCGTCATATATTCCGCCGACATAAGGCAAGAATAGCCTTACTGGCTGGATGGCTCAGACTGCCAGATTGTGTGTTGTGAAACAGTCGTCAGATACCGTGACCCCAAAGTACCCAGGAAAACGGCTTCTAACAGTCAGTGTTGAGCGTATGCGTAACAGGTAATCCATCGTCCAGGATAGGAAATAAAGAAAGACAGTGACTAGTCTGATCTGCAATCCAGCATGCAGAAGACGTCTGGACTGGACTGACTCACAAGGCCGTACGACTTCAATGAAAGGCTACCAGCGGCCATCTTCTAACACACGTCATTACACGACTCGAGGGACACGACAGGCCGTGTGGGCGCGAGGCTGATGACCGCTGAAATCCATTGACGTCATTTCACTTACCCAGGATTTCTTGTTCGTTCTCCACAGCCAGTTTCCCCAGCTTTCCGATGGCATCCTGCAGGAGTCGCTTCGAGTCGACCCCGCTGTCCATCTGGCGGACATACACAGAAACACAAGTTAGTGACGCGACCGACAGATGCCCAACACAACTAGCCGACAGACAAAGTTCCGGAGCATACAGCCATCAAACGGTGATATATCATCCCAGATCAATCTCAGATTGTCTCAAAGGTAAACAGCAATGGCCCAAGTGTTTGATCCGATAGTCGAACCGGAATTGAGCGTATTGAGCCAGGCCTGGGAAATAACTAACTCAATTGTAGGACGGCTCGCTCGCTCTAATATCACCGGCGGTCCAGACATGCCGGCGCACCATCAAAGCGTTTACAAAGGTCGCACCAGGCTCGCATATCAACACGCTACCGGAAATGGTCCTATGAGATTAGCCCGGCGCACGGAGGCTCAGGGCTCGGTTTGAACCAGCTTCTGGTGATGTAGTGCGGTGCCGCCATAGCCTTGTCGCCTTTATTCTAAGAATTATGACATCTTGAAGATCCTGGGCGGGAACTTCAGCTCATGTAGGCTGTGAAACGTTATATGACATTCTGCTACATTCCTCAATGACTGTTCTAGCTTTGGCAAATCAAAACATGCAGCCCGATATTGCTACATCAATAAAACGAACACTAGCACTCCCTTCAAGGAGCTCCTAAAGAATAAAGCACCCTTCCATTGTGTGCTTGCATTACGTAAAATGACACTATTCCTGTAATTCTCATATAAAATAATCACATGACACAGAGAGCTCCACACCAGCTCCAGAGCCGAGTGTGGCGGCGGTCGCGCGCCGTCCACCTCTAAACGCTCGGCCATGTCCCTAGTATCGGGCGTGGAGGCTGCAGGGACCCGTACTTGACTGGACGGGGGTCGACACTTTAATTTCATTACCAAAAAAATAATACCGAATGAATTCGTTGCTCTGCATTTATCTTATAAGTGTGAAGTGTAGGTAGGCTAGTTGGTGTAACAATATGTGCCTTATAAGGTAGCGAAAGGCGCCTTGTAATTTGTATTAAGCGCTAAACGCGCTTGTACGCCAATTCGTGTATGTTTTGCTGTATCAATCATTGTCAATAATCAATATGTTGTAAATAAATTTTATCTCTCTCTGTCTCTCAGTATCGCGCGCCATCCTCTCTCGCGCTGCAGTGCCACCTACCATTTCCCGTTCGACGATAACCCTCTCCAGTTTGGATGAGAGCAGCCGCGCGAACTCCTGGACATTCCGGGTCGGGTCGATCTGGGGCACTGTCGGCCTGCGGACGGCCAGAGGGGGTACCGAGCGTCAGATACAGACAGGGGCAGCACTGGGTGTCCCAGGGGGACGGGGGTGTCTGAGGGACACCGGCGTCAGATGGATAACAGGGGTTGGGGGTGACACAGGGCGCCAAACAGGCCGGACAACAGGGCGTCAAAGGGGGATAGCAGGGGCACAGGGTGTCAGAGGGGAGAACAGCTGGGGCGGCACGGGGCGTCAACCGGGGGCGGCACAGGGCGTTTGATACAGTCAGGGGCGGCACCGAGCGTGCAAGGGACGTTCGAGAGGGCAAAAAGAGTCTCAGGGAGGACACAGGTGGGCAGAGGGAGGATCTAGAGCACAGACAGATGGGCACGAACACAGACGAACCAGCGCTGCAATACTTCACCACAACGGCCCGCAAAAGCCGTGACTCCACTCGAATTATCAACTATACTGTCCCGTCAACACTCCACTTATACTCGGCAGCAGTTTGGTACTAACACCACTCTCGGCACCCTCCCTCCCTCTCCCTCCGTGTCTCCCTCTGTCTCACCTCTGGGTGCGCGGTATGACCATGTTCTGCAGCATCGACTCCTGGTTCTGTCTCGCGCTCTCACGCATCATCTGACGCTGCAGCTTGTGTATCCGCTTCTGAGACAGGCGCGTGTTGTAGTGACCCGACCGTCCGTCCCTCCTGAGAACACACAGGTCACAGGTCAAACAGAGGTCAGGCCGCAGGTCAGTCCACAGACCCAGTAACAGGTCAAAGGTCAACTATACAGCTCGTGCGACACAGGTCACAGATCAAACCACATGTCAAAGGTCAGTCACCAGACATAGTATGGGTTTTAAGCCAAATGTTAAACGGTGGGAGAGGTTGTCGTGAAGCTCGTTTCTATCCGACTTTATACCAGCAAGAGAGTCGTCAGGCAGCACTCGTCACCCAAAAGCAGGAAGCATTAAGTAGCCCTTGAGTGATTAAGTGTAATCCTAGCTTCAGTATTAATATCTGGTTCAGCGGAGAGCCGTCTGCACTTTCTGGAACCGCCCACGGCCCGTCCGCCGGCCGTGGGCCCGGTAACGGCTCCTGACCTGCGGTGGCTTCCCGGCGGCACCGGCTAGGATCAATGACTCCGGCCGGGACAGTTCTGGTAGGTGCGCCGCCGCCGGGCAGTAGAGGGGCATGAGGGGATGGGGCGGATCCCCACCTTAGCCGGTGCTCGTGAGGCATGAGGGACAGTTGAGAGGACAGTGCGCACGCGAGGGGGCAGTTGGGGGACAGGGCGCAAGTGTAGGGATAGATGAGAGGACAGGGCGCTTCCTTCACATCATGTCTACCCGAACCACAGTTTGCGTCTTAGTCTTCACCCTGTTCATTTCTCCCTTCGCCCTTCATACACCAAACTACATAATAAGTGCTAAAATAAAGTACCAAAATTACGCTAAAATCACACCGCATTTAGGCCTGCCACTACACCTTTTTAGGCGCAATTTCAAAAAGCTCAAGAGTCAAGGCCAAATTCAAAACGTTCACGTGCATTTCGAACGTAAACTTTTTGAATTTGGCCTTTAACTTTTTTAAATTGCGCCTAAAAAGGTGTAGACATAGAGGATTCTTCATGGCTCCGAGTGGAAGATAAGGATATCTTTTCCAAGTGGGTTACTGAAAAAGCGAGCGACGAAGGAGCGAGGTTTTTCTGTAACACGCGAGGAAAAGATATCCGATCTTCCACGAGTGAGCCATGAGTAATCCTATATCTTTCTATGTTGAGGTTTATTCTTAATTAATAAAATGTTATATTTAAATGCATTCATCTATGTAAAAATAGATTCAGAGTAGTTTGTTCATATTTCATAAGGTTCATCCATACACAACCATTAACAATGTCGTTCGGTTATTGACCCATCATCACTTGAACTCTTGATTTTTTGCTATGAACTCTCGAGACCTTATCTTTGCATCTCAGAGGGATGCAGATGTAACAAATTCTTATCTTTGCATCTCAGAGGAGTGCGAGATAAAAATATCCCTGCACTGTAGACCCAATGGCAAATAAACCTCAACTAGAAAGATATGACGGAGGTCAACATGTCCTCAGCAAAGACCTCAAAACACGCGCTATGAGAGAGACACAGCTGCACATTGTTTGTGGGTGCTGTACCCGGCTCACCGAGGTTAACAATGACATAACTCTCCAAAAATACACTCACACAGAGGATCCGGCCCGGCTGCCGGTGTCGTCTGTCAGCGCCTCAGAGCTCATGCTCTGCAGCTCCGAGTCCTGCCGGCTGACTGGGTTGTACGAGTTGTAGAGCGTGTGGTACGGGTTGACGGGCCGCGGCAGCGGCAGGCCGGGCGCCTGGTACGGTAGGCCGGGCCTGGCGGCACAACGAGAGGGGGCGGTCAGAGCGCGGTCAGGGGTTCTTCTCGAGAACACAGCTTTTCAGAAGTTCAAATCGAACACAGCAAAGAAAGCTTTGAACTGGGCATGCAATGTAATGACACATACGGACACCATACTAATGGAAACTGGGTGATAACAGATGGTTTTATTTCTAATGTGCTGCAATGTTAATGGCAAAACCGTTACCCAATGTAGCTGAACACTTAGAGGCTAGGGCGCTCAGTTCACATATTCCAATAACTTCCTGTGGCGGACATTGGGGTAGGTATACAAGCAGAGATATATAACACACTACCCCGCATGTAGATCCGGTCCAACCACCATCAACCCATAAGCCACACACCAACAACTCATTTAGTTCGATCTCAACATGACAGTGACCGACACGAGTTGGCGCCGCGTGTCACTTCCATCCCATTCTAGCGACACGGCGCTGTCAAACTCGCGCATCAGTTATTCAGCAGGACACTATGTAAAGGCCAGCCGCGCTGTATGACGGCGCCGGAGACTCCAGCGCCTGCTCAGATCACCACTGTGGGAGCCATGAAGTCATCGGCTGGACGGGCCAGAAAAGAACACATACGAATGCCGCCGCGGCCGCGTAAAAATGAAACCGGACTTAGCACAAAGCCGGCCGCGATCAAAGCTGGGCCGTCAGGATAACCCGCCACCAGGATACGGGGCAGCCACGGCCGCGCCGCGCCGAGGGCAGACGGGTTGCCGGGCGAGCGACGGCGGAGCGGCCGCGGCGAGACAGCGGTTACAGCTGGCCGGCGCCGCGGTACAACAGGCACGACCAGTCGGAAACTACCGATCACCAGCGATCGGCCGTACAGTAAAAAACAGCGGACACAGACAACAACCAGAGCGCCGGTGGGGCTTATTGTAACACCTCCCAGAAGCGAGAACAGCGGAAAAAGGAACTACATAACTGATCAAAGGAGCGACACACAGCCGATAGCCTGGCGGGCGCTCAAGTGTTCCGTTCCGCCGCGACGAATCGGCTGGTTTTGTTGAAGCAAACAGCAACAAGTGGTACTCAACAGACCAGCGAGCGGCCATATAGGCCAGCGGGGCCGACTGAGGCCGTGGGCAGAACCAACAGACGACATAACACATCAACTGTTCCCAAAACTAAGCTTCTACATCGGGCATAACCCACACTCGTTCAATACTTACAGAGAAGGTTAGCAAGATAGCAATGAGTGCAAGAGCAGTCTGCTCTGTGGCAAAACAACACATGGATTATCAATCAAACAGGCACAGCCATTCACATTCAAAACAAGCTGTCCACTATACCTATGACTGACAAGTGCTCGAGCGACTGCCTTTGAAGGGGGGTTCCATCGCCGGCAGGGCGCGACCCCGAGGGCCAGTGTCCCTGGTAGAGCAGCGGTGAGCGCGATGACACACCACGGCCCCAGCCGCGTACTATAGAACCCAGACGGAAAGTTGCCGACAGTGATCACACGGGAAATCTCAAGTACCTAACGAGTAACAAGACATCGCGGCACCTCACAACTGACGCACCAAAACACACGGCCGCCAGCTAACAGTGCTATTTTCGTCATCGATTTTCGGCGCAGCTGTCCTAAGTGACCAGAGTCAGGTGTTGGTGCTAAATTTAGAACACAGCGAGCGCACATGTTCTGTTCAAACTGCAGATACCGCGCTGGTCATAGCGAAATGCAGTACAGAAACTCACATAGCAACCCTAGTGTCAACTTAGACTTACTGCCCTATTCTCTTCACAACCAATGTCTATTTCACACTGAAAATTTGCTAAGTGTCCAATTCTGTCCACCGTATCCAATACTGGACAAATACCACCCCACGTCCCTGGCATGTCACCGCACAAACGACACAATCGCTCAGCGCAGCGCCAAACAGCGGGTCCACGCACCCCCAGCCGCCCATTTACAAGTCAAGTGGCACCGCCCTCACCGGCTAATCTACTAACCGCCATAACAGCGCTCATTTGGACCCTTCGCCTGCTGTAGGTGCCCTCAACTGGCCGCGTTTTGAGTCGTCAGGCATTTAAGGAACGAATGGGCCGTCGCCTAGTAGCTGAAGCGTTAATTACTGGCTTCTGCTATTATCATCACTAAATGTTCCGCGCCACGCAGCGGCTTCGCGAAAGCAGAGCGTCAGGTGCGTATTAATGCTGACTAATGAACAGCTGACACTTGTGTAAAGAACGCAGCCGGCAATCCAGGCATTAATGCACTGCGACCTACGACAGGTATCAATCAATATCCACCGACCAGTAATACCAATATCCCAGAGTGCGTCAAACATTGGACACCCACTAATACGCCGCATCATCGGTTGTCCGTTGTCATAGCAACGTCGCACGCCAATCGTTCATTGGCAGATCCATGGATGCTGCCTGGGTTACAGATCATTCAGCGGAGACGCTTCAACAAGCAGCACTCGAGACCACATTGATCGGGACACTTCTCGACTGCCAGACAGCCTAGCGACGCAATGACGAGGGCACAATACGACATCACGAATGCAATGCATCATGAGAGCTCTTCCCTATAAACACAAGAGATCCGCAGTAGAAACGAAAGGGTGGAACTAGCACATCCCAAGAACGCTACACACGCCAATGTCCCAAACAGAAGCATAACCAACAAACAGAAAGCACAACTAACTGAAACGGACCCGCTTCGCAATATCATGAGCGACTTAGTGCAACACCTAGGCGCAGCTGAAAACAGCACAGAGCACAACAGGGCGTGACCCGCACAATACGATCTGTCCTGAGCAGCGTGAAAAGTTCGCACCTGCAGGTGCGAACGATATAGAACCGTGGGCTTATTGTCAACCAAAGTTGAGACCGAACCCATACAAATTAAATCAAAGTGAAATTTTAGCTCCAACAAGCAGATCAAATGTAAAGGCCTCGTGGGTTGTCGAGACAATACCGTTTTGGATGGTCCCGGCCTGGAAAATGTCACTTTTTATAGCTTTGTCGGAGCAGTACTTGAAAGAGTGACACTTGCTGATCGACTTGATAAAGCGTTTCTCACCCCACACTCACTTGATCACCCAAGCGTCAGCAATAAGTCTACGTCCCAGAAGCAGTGCACGAACATCATCTCTTTCACCACATGACACGGTGGTTTCGTAAAATCCCGCGCTATGAGCGGGACACCGCCGCACGTTGTTGATCTGTACCGGGTTCAGCAATGTTAACAATTACATAACTCTTCAAAAATACTCACTCGGAATGAAATAAGTCCGTACAGCTTCAAAGAACATCAAAGAAAACCATTTGCGTTGGTGATGAGTATAGTCGACTACAGAATGATGTTCCACTTTTCACAGGCAATTATTTGCCTGGAGTGGTAGGCTGTGCCGCATCACACGGACTGAGTTCACAAATTATAGCTTTGTCCCAATGCTCACAATTGACACGCTTAATTGCGTGATAAACGGCACAACTTAGCGCCCCGGTCAACTGATAGCTTCTAAGGAGTGGAACATCATTCTGTAGTCGACTATACAACGAGGTACTCACAAAACGTTCCAGTTTCCATGATCAAAAAGGAAATCGGCGCACCTTATTCTCGAAAACGCAACTACCCCGGGTACATGACCAAAGCAAATGCGTATTACACACGGATTTGCGGCAAACGCTCCCTACAAACTCCGTTTCAAATGCGGATTCACGTGCCCCTGCATATGCAGTACAGCACACAAACTCAGCATTCACAAAACCACGGCGAAGGCCTCAGCTCAGTTGCCAGGCGCCAGTAAAGGCTTGGACTTTTATCAGCTAGCCTGGCTAGACTTCAGCTTCATCAACCAGTGAAATACGACTTCAAACAGCTCTCAGCAGGCACCAGCGGCAGCACTCAGCAGTGTTCGCCCACGTCCTAACGTTATGCCATACCCCACTATCCCTCTAGGCCCAGTGGGGACAATCTGATTTCCCTGCCGCCCGGGCCGGGTGCCCCAGCCGCCTGGGCCGGTCACCCCGCCCTGAACTCACCTGGAGGTGGTCACTCGGTCCGGTTTCCGCCGTCCGGTCGGCTGGATGAGCGCCCGTTTATCCTGCGTGGCCAGCAGCGCGCCACGGGTCAGCGCCGGCGCCACGGCCGGGCCCGGCGCGGCGCCGGTCGTCGAGCCGCCCGCCGAGCCCTCGTGCTCCTCATGCAGTGTGGGCAGCCCCGCGGCGGGGCACGGCGGGCCGCACACGGAGCTGGCGCAGCTCGAGCCTTCCACACTCTCACCCTCGCCGTCGCCGCCCACACCGCCGCCGCCCTGCACTAATTGGATGTAGTAGTCCGACTTGAGGAAATTCGGGTACAGCGTCCGGTTCATTTCGGCCTCCACCTCGGCCTGAGCACTATCGAACACATCCGCGTCTAGTCGGCCGTCCTGCACGCGCTCGGCGATCTCTGTCCGCACGTCCTCACTGAGCGGCAGTTCGGCCGGCTCGCGCTCGGCCGCCGCCGCGCCACTGCTCGCCACAGACGCGGCGCGACCGCCGCGCCGCCGCGGCCGCACGAACCGCTTGTAGATGGCCCGAATGAGCTGGCGAAACTGAGCGGGATCGGCGGCCGGGTCTGCGGAGCACTGCTGCCGGACACCCTCGCAGGCGTACCAGAAGTAGAGCATCTCCGGACATCCCTCCTCCTTCAGGTACGTCTGGGGGAGGAGGTCGGAGGTCAGTGATACCGCCAGAGGCCAGGTCAGGTCAGTGATACGGCCAGATATCAGAGGTCGGAAGTCAGTGAATATCGCAGGTCAAGTCATGTCAGGTCGGTGATACGGCCGGACATCAGAGGTCAGAGGTCAGTGATACCACCAGAGGCCAGGTCAGGTCAGGTCAGGTCAGTGAGACGGCCAGACATCGGCGGTCAGTGACACAACTAGCGGTCAGAGTATAGGACAGGGTAGGACAGAGACAAAGTACAAAGCCAGAGATCATGTCAGGTGAGAGAGTAAAATAGCAGCGACTACACAGAATCAGTTCAGAACGGGGAGCCAGGACCGGCCCGGCGGCCCCTCGGACCACCTCGCCAGGCCGGAGGACCAATGAAAAACGGGACGAGGTGTCACAGTATGTCAGGCATAACGCTTGCTATTGGCATCCGATTAAGTATGAGAAACAACATAATAAATCTCGTCACAAGCGGACGTGTCTAAAATGCACTAAAATGAATGTCACTTCATTGATCACTGATCAGTCTATCCCAGTCAGCACTGACCCCATCTATGTAGACTGTAGAACCTATAGACCCCGACAAAATCTCATTGACTACCAACAGAATGCCATTGATAGAACAGCTTTGACAGAGCAACACCGACCAAATGTCACCGGACCCGAATATCGAGCTTTAATCCCCCATTAACCGAACAGTTCGCCGAAGCGCCGGTGCCGCCATGGATTCGTCTGAGCTGCAGCCGCGCAGTGTCGGTCTTTGATCGGCCGCGTTCCGTGTAATGGAACCGCTCTGTGTCGCCGGCGGCCGGCTGATTAAACCGCAACACGGCTTCCGAGCAGCCAGTCCCCACTTCTCTGGGCGGGTCGCCGAGTACAGTCCTGGCGGGGTCAAACGAGGCCATCCTCTGCGCCGGCCGCTCCACCGGCCACACTATCCTTCCCCCGCCAGGCGGAGACAGCCTCACATCGCAACAGCGGCCCGCCGCCAGCCAGCCAGCTCATCGAAAACAAACGGATCACAAGTTCCGCGAAGGGCCACTTTTGAGCGGCGCCCGGCGCCAGCGGCCGGTGCTCGCCGGGTCCGCGGCACGGGGTCTCGGAGTCCGCGCTGCCGAACGAAGGGCCGACAAACGGGCCGCCGCCAGCAGCGGTGTCGAGTAACGACGGCGCCGGGGGACAGGGACGGGGTTAGGGGACAGGGTAGAGTAAAAGCGGCACCTTGTCCCCACAGTTCCCCAGCCCCAGACACTCTCTGTGACTGAGAGCACCATGGCCGCTTCCGCGCCCACCCCTCAACCTTTAACATGACATCCCGCCTCCCGCTCGACAATCACTCTGCCACTGGAGTCTGAGACCCGTCAGCCGCTCCCGCTGTTACACGGCTAGCCAGCATCCGAGCGAGCAAGGGGAACTGCTGGGGGTTGTCCAGGCCGCCACAGTCACAGATTCAGCAGACGACTCAAGTGAGCGCCGGGCTAACCATTGATGGAAGCCACCCCATAACGTCGCTCACAATGGAAGACATCAGAGAACCCAGAATGGGCGACGACACCAAATCAGCGTTAGGAGAGCGTTAGGCGGTGACCAGCGAGCAGTCGCCAGACAGCGGGGGAAGGGCGGAGCGCGACGACGTCTCACGGCGTCGTCTGTGATTAGCTCATGTCACTCGGGCTCCATCAGTCGGCACCATTGAAGCGGTCTCGGCCGGCGGTGCAGACCGGTGCCTACACGTTCCGTGCATTATTGACCATCAGATAGGGCGCCGCGGCGACGGACCTAACTCGGCACCGCGCTGAGCTGACACTCATGAGTTGGCGCTGACACTCCGGAGTTAGCGCCGAGTGCAGCCAGCCGTTCTGTGAAACCACCAGACCCGCATGCGACCAATAAGAGCTGCACGAATCCTGCGAGGGACCACTGGTCGACATTCACTGTGAATGCAAAGGAAGCCGGTCTGAAGATGGTGTGGAAACACTGACAAAGGACTGGGGGTAACGATACAAGTGTTTCAGCGAAATGGGACAGACGGTTACCACAGTGTCACACTGTCACAGCACAGACAGACGCGATGGTATGGTAGTGGTGATGACATTTCCACACAGACAGTACCACTGTGACTGGGAGCACTGAGTCTAAAGGCTGCACGGATAAGTTCACAGGTGGCGTCACTGACAGCAAAAATGACGCTTATGCTATCTCGGCGCAACAATGCATCAATAGCATGAGTATAGTGGCTGATAGAATTCAGAATTGCGCCCATTGCCTTAAAACATACGATAAAATCGTAAAACATCATAGAACAATTTGACAATCATGTATAACCGTTTAAGTCGCGCTGTACCTGTCTTCCATCGCACAGCTTATCTAGGGTGTAAAATAATAACAAGAACTTGTTGATACTGCATAACAAAGGATTTATGATGTTGAAAATAGCACGCCGAATGGATTCGTTCGTCGAAAACTTCCACACAGGCGGTACAAGGAAGCACTCTTGCAATGTCTGCCTTCCGTGCGTGGTTTTTCAGTGGCGGAATTCAGGGGCTAACACATAAGGCGGGCAAGGCAGGGCACTGAAAGGATTGGGCAAAGTACAACTTGCTCAACCGGTAAACCTTGAAACAGACAACACTCCCTGTCGCATATTTTCGTAAAGCACTTCCTGAAACAGGGATACATAAAAACACTTGAAAATAGCCACGATGTCCCATAAAAGGGCCACCACAAGTCAGAAAAAAAAAACAGAGCATCAATTCATTTACTTATCTTTACCTATACCTTCCTGAAGCAAACGTTCGATAGAGCAGTCGTACAAAATCATCTACAGCTGCTTCAATACATGCATTCATTCATTCATTCATTCATTCATTCATTCATTCACTCACTCACTCACTCACTCACTCACTCACTCACTCACTCACTCACTCACTCACTCACTCACTCACTCACTCACTCACTCACTCACTCACTCACTCACTCATCCATACGTTAGTTCATATGTTCTTTGAGTACGCACAGAACTTGTAATATTCACAATACCTCCACGTTGTGACCCCGCCAATCCCAGCTGGATCGCCTGGACCAGCCCCCGCGGCCCGGCCGCCGTCTACAGCAGTCGCGCCACTGACCTTGAAGTGTTCGACGCCCTCCTTGTCATTGAGCAGCGCGCGCAGGCCGCCGGCGTAGCGAAGGTAGGGCGGGGTCGAGGTGGCTGTGTAGGAGGGCGAAGGGCCGCCCTCGGCACCGCCCTCGCCCCAAGAGCTCCTCTGCTTCAGGTACTCTGTGGGCACGGCAGGGCAGCCCAGGTCAGGTCAGGTCATGGGCGAATAACGCACAGTCTAAGATAAAGTAATTGTTAAGGACTTTAGTCTTTAGGGCATTGACCTTAAGGGAGCATCGATTGCCATGGCCAGTTTGCGCAGCACCGGGACTGCTGGGCTTCTAAACTAACACTTGAAATGAAACAAAAAGGGGAGAAAACCAGCCGAGTCGAAACATTTAACATATTCGCGGCTTAGCTGTGGTTATCCAGTTTAGTTGACACTTAATATCAATGAAAAAATATAAACCGTCCAAACCGGCAAAACAAATGACCGTTTGCGCCAAGAAATTGCGAAGGGTAGCAATATAAGTTGACGGCACCCCTTGTCCCAATTCCCACGCACTGCCAATGAGCATGTGTAATCCGCTACCAAATTGAAATTCCGAATGATTCGCGTCTGCGGAAAGGCTCGGAGGTCACGGCGCTACATATTCGTTCCTCATTTCCGTGCTCGACAAATTATTTTAAAAAATGTGAGTGTGCCAAATGTATTCGGAAACGGCACTCTTCCCTTTGGTGCCGCACAAAGGTTCACACGTCTGATCAAATACGCGTCTAATGCGTTGCGGCGGACTATAAAATTAATATTTTATTTTACGTCATATCCGGCAGTCAGGCTTGGCTGATGTCACACATAAATCGGAAATCGGATGGCACATGGTTACTCGTGCGAACATGATCTGACAACACCAATTGAATTGAGTCATCTGAATAATAGCACACCCAGCAGACCCAGGGCCAGAGGCCAGTTTTACCTACCAACAGAAAAATCGCTGGCTGCGACCACCAAAAGGTTTCACCAACCTCGCGAAATATTAAGCACTTATGTAGACAAAAACAGTAAGGCTCCCATACCTATACAACAACAGCTTTTTAGTTTTTTTTCCTCGGTAATATTTTTTTAAGGTGAAACTTGCGGGCGACTTTCAGGCCTAAAAACGCCGCAGCCTACATTTTCCCGTTTCTTAAACTGGCCTCGGCTCGTGCCTTCTGAAGTCTTCACTTACAAATAACTTGAGGGAGTAAAAACTGAGCCGACTAAAGGCCGCAAGCGAGATGCTTTTTATCTAGAGAATCGCCCATTCAAAACATGACATGCATAAAAAAGAGCAGTGGTGTGATTCGTCGGCAGGGCGAAATGAGTTTGAGACGAGACGAGCGAAACCTTAGCTGAGCGTGAACATCTCCAAAGTTCGTACAGCGCGGCTCAGCTTGTTCTGAACTGACTTATAAAACTGCAGCTCAAAATTAAGAAACAAGGGAGAGAACAAGACTTATTACTTTTGCATGCATCAGCCAGATAAAGTAGGCAGCTCCATTTCGAGAGCACCAAACACAGATTATAAAGAGCGAGCCGATTACACCACCTGTCCTATCCAGTTATACGATTATACGACTCAATATCAGCGGCACGTAAATGGCACCGTCCAAGGCAGCGTCGCAAGCCCCATCTAAGTCCAGTTTACCACGGCACTTGGTCAATCCACTCAGAGCGGTATACCACATCACACTGAAATGGCCCGGGCGCCATCACCCATTACGCTAATGAGGCCGCCATTCTCGGCGGCGACAGACGCCATGCAGCGACGGCGCGGGGTCAACCGCGGTCCCCAGAGGTCACGACCCCGGCCGGCCGCGCCGACCCCGCGACCAGAGATCAAAGGCAGCCGACACAGCCGGCCGCTGACACCGGCAGGGCCGCTCCGGCAGGCGGAACTGGGCCACCGAAATAGACGGCCCGCGCTCGGTACTTTGAGACTATAAGGGATTAATGCGAATACCGGGCATCGAGCCAGACACACCCGAACAGCATGCTGTTGAGCCATCGACATATTGGTGAGCGAAGGAGACCCATTGGAAATCAACACTTCAGTGTTAGTTCTTTCGTAGCACCGCCACTGTCACTGTCGCCGTCACTGCCAAGTTTCTGTCGCATAGTTCGACGTTTTCGACGCGTGGAATCTGCGTCGGCAGAGGCAGCGGCTTCTTTGAAGTTGGTCGACCATCGCTCATCCTCTGTTGGCGCACGTCGTGGACCGCGGCGGAAGGGGGGGGGGGGGGGGGCAGGGGGGTCCGCGGCGGTTCACCTGCGATCTGACAGACCCAGGTGCCCCGCCCTGAACTCGCCCTGAACCCGCCCGGAAGTGAAGCCCCCAGTCAGAATGTCAGAGTTGGCGGTGACGAGTGGGTCGATAAAGAGGTGACTGAACATGCATATAACGGAATATCGTCGGATATTCCGGGCAGACAGCCGCCGCGCACTAGTCCGAAGCCGGTGAAAGCATGATCTCCAGACAACTGACTACCAATGCTCCCAACAGTGCAACTCTGGGAAGGCTCACCCTGGACCCCTCATCATAGCGACGTTTGGAATCCAGGGTGTCGGACTGCGATCATCGAAAAAAAAAACGTGATACAGAATCAGGACATAGCAAGGCAAGTGTTATTCATTAATGCGAGGGGAAACTTGGGTGTTTGTATGGTATTATGCAAGGTTTCGTGAACAGACGCGCAAGAAAAAAAATGCTCACAAAGGACATTAAATGAATCATCCAGGCACGAAGTCATTCAAAACAACTAATGCGCTCTACACGTATGTCGAGTTAGAAGTCCCGACTTCCTCAAACGCTAGACTCTTCATCTTCCGGAGACGAGACGGCAGACAATGCTATCTTCTTTTGCATTGTTGCATGTACCGTTCAACTCACGACTGCACTGGTGTTTTTGCTAAGATCCTATTATGCCCAGTACGAATTCTCTTAAGTTTACTATACCCGAATTATGTAACGCATTGCCTAAAAGTACAAAAAAAAAACTATGAACGGAGTTTCTGGTCCTGACATTACGCTTTCAACAGAGTGAGACACGCACTGCAATCCAAAAGCGGCCTCACATCATCCCAGATTCCTAACCACAGTCGGTGATTCGAAAGAGACACCGGTAGTCACGACACCTAAACCATCAGATCCCTGGAACACACCTGTACCAGACCTCCTGAACCTCTGAACCAATCTCTTCCCCGCCACCGTCCGGATCTCAGCGCGTTCACTCGCCTGCAGCGCGTACAACCAGCCTAACACCGGAAGCGTCACTACAGCCCAACGAAACCATACCGAAAGCGAGCTTCCTCTGGCCACGAAGAATGCATGAACGGTGCACCTGTACGGTGGAGCCAGGACCAAATCCTGGCTCAGCCGCCGACCAAGGCGGAAATGATGGGAGCGATGGGATGGGGGGCACCCCTCGTGCGACGGTGTTGACACAGGTGACACTGCCACTCGGCGTGTCATGACACGCCCACCCTCAGCGTTATGATCGAACCGTCTTTGATCTGCGATCTGCCACGACACCGTCGCGCCGGCGACCGACACTCCTCCCCACCAGACGGGCACACAGGTGTCCCCCTCCCCCTCCCCGGGGCGGGCACACATGTCACCGATCAAACAGCATACACAGAGCCTGCTCGACACAAGCTGACGTGTATGTACGCCAAAAGTCTCAGCAAAGACACCGCGCCGGCCTTTTAATCATGGCAGTGGCCCGACGCGAGCCCGCGCGATGCGTCTATTTCTGCCGCGTTTGATGTCGCAAATTCACCTGAAACGGAACGCTTTGATGCCTGCTGTTCGTGGCAATGCCAGTTCGTTGGCGAATCGCATCGTCCCAGCCTGCTTGGGGCGGCCCGATTGGCTTACATGCTCAGCCAAGAGTTCAAACAGACACATACATGCGCCAGGAAACGGGGAGCGCTGCCAAGTCAGCGCCGCATGCAAGATACGCCTGTGATCTTTTCGCAACATATGCTGCGAGAGAAGACTATTTATTCATCTTTGCTACGTGACGCACAGCGCAAATTCTCCGCCAGCACTCCACGGCAGGACTGTTCGCCGAGACTCCGTGGCAGAGATCAGTTTAGCCTCCACGCAACCGCAGTCGGGGCCGACCAACAAAGAAACCCGAGCGTCTGCAGCGCCCATCGGGCCGCGGCGCGCCGCCTTACCATCCCATTAGCCTATGAAAGCGGCGCTGGCGGCGGCGGCGCGGCCGCGGGCGCGCTTCCTTGGCCGCGCTGACAGCCGTGAAATCTGGACTGCCGCCGGCCCTTTCAGCGCGGCCAGCGGGCCGAGCAGTCCCGTCCCTTCCCTTCCTCGCCGCTCGGCAGGGCGGACTGACGGCCTCCGGCGCCGCACACAACCCTTAGCGTCGATAGCGACGCCACAAACAGCCGTCGGCGCCGACGGGCCAGCGTCGTAGCCGACGGTCGTGACATCGTGCGGTGCCGACATCGGTGGCGGTCACGCGAGGATCGACAAGGGACCCCACCTCACCCCCACGGTGCTACCAGCCGGGCTGGCCGCACGCCCACACCAACAGCTGCAGTCTGACTGACGTTCATCGTTTTCCAGCGTCTGGGCTTGCTACGCGTTGTAACATTGCAAGTTCAGCGAATCCGATTGATCATCTCGTTCTCTTTGGTAGCGGATACAACCCATTGAAGTGCTGTCTTGTCTGCGATGTTTTGGCTTTGATTTCGTTGCATTCGGGCCTCACGTTTTAGTTTATCATTTTATCAGCTAGTGTAAATAGTTCAAAAGAAAAATCACAGGACGGATGAAGTACAAAAAGCTCTAAACGCTCGTTGTTTATACAACACATCAGATGGCCGGTGCAGTTTGGAAAACGGAGCACTGACCCGACACTGAGACACTTCCAAACAGAGCAGAGTCCCCGGAGAAGCGTGCAAAGTGCAGGATGTTGTAGAAAGATGCAATGACCCTCGGGTTGGAGCTGAAGTAGTGTGGTGTACTTCAGCGTCTAAGCTGGCCAAAAACTGACGCATGAAAGCGCCTGGATGGGCATCAGCGCCTCAATAAGCAATCTGATGGCAGAATGATTACTACGAACCTCGTCTGACCAGACACCCAAACATGCAAGGAAAATATACATATCTTAGCAAAAATACGTCCAGTCCGTCTGGGGGTTTCTCTAGACAACGTTCAGCTCCAGTGCATTATTTTCGGGTTTTTGATAAACGAGCCCATCCCTAACAAATCTGCATATGTGGAGCAAACTTAGGATTGCTGCATCAGTCGTCTATACCGACCGCCCTGCAGGGCAGGACTCTCACACTACCATTCAATCGTCAATGAGCTGTCAGCACCACAACCTACCAACCCACCACTCCCCACGCAGCACTCTGCACATCCTGTCCCACCCAGCCACCCAGCCGGCTGTCGACTCAGACTGCACCCAGCTCCAGCCTTTCCTCACGACCCTCCTCACACACCACTGCCAGCCGGCCCGGCGCGGCAACCACGCGAAAACAACACCGAAAAAAGGCCGGCCGGCCGTCGCGCCGTCGGCCGTCGGGCCGTCTGTGGGCCTGCACGTGCCGTGCCGGCCGAGACGTCCGTGCCAGGCCGTGCACCGGTCAGTGAGGCGCGCACGGCCGCCGGAACCCAAACCGGCCGGCCGGCCGCCATGGCCGCCCGCCCTGGACCATTTCAGTAATCTGGGGATCGTCCGGACCAGAACGCCGCTCGCCGGGGGGGGAGGGGAGGGGCATCGCCGCAGCAACATCCGGTGGTGAGGGGGGGGGGTTGGAGACGAGCCAGGTCGGGCGGGTGGCTACACCACACAGCCACGGAGGATGGAGCGAAACGGACCATGTTGAGTTAGAGCTAACCGCCGTCTGAGCACCACACGCTACCGGCTCATCACCGTCGGGGCTGTGTTTCGTGCGCCTCTAGTAGACACCATAGTCCAGAGGAGAGTCGCAGCGACAGGGACTATTCGGGTTCGCCTCTCACCCGTGGAGTACTGGGGCGGCACCAATATGCATTTTTTTTTTGGTCTGTATTTTATCCCGTCTCCGACCGAATAGTGACCACTGGCCACTGCCGTATCACCACCTCTCAGCTGGTCTTTTCCTTTTAGATCTACAAGAGCCCTTTCGGAAGTTCTACTCACCATCGGCGTCTTGGGCGGTTTCCATGGCGACGGCACGTGTCACGGGTCGCTCGCCGCCCTCTCCCCGTACATGGTAGGATTCTTCGCCTGGTGAACAGAGAACGGGTCAGTCACGTGGCAATGGGTCAGTGATATGCGCTGAGTCTGCGTCACTTACATGACATAGGGCCATTACCATTTTGCGTCAGTCAATGAAATGGTATGGGGTCGGTTACATGGCGAAATTATCTCTCTGCTAACAGGGCCAATAGCAGATGAGGTACAGGCCAGAAACAGCAGTGGTTTATCAACGCATCGGATCAACAAACTACCACAGAATGTCCATTCGTCCATTCATTACATGCTGATAATGCGTTCACAAAATGTTAACGATTGACTCATAATGGTAAGGCGCTTTTTCACACTCGGTTTGTGTTCGCAGCTCTGTTGATACTGCTAACGCTAGCAGGTGACCGACCTATGACGGGCGGCCGTGGCTCTCCGGGCGCCGCTGACGGCAACAGCTGACTCATGCCGTGCGCAATGGTGCGCAGGAGTTGTCGCAGCGCGGCGCTCGGCGGCTGGCGCAGCTCGTAGACGCTTGCATCATAGAAGGGCTCTGCGAACACACACAGAACAGACGAAAAGTCAGACAGGTTAGATAATACACATGGGGCATTGGTGTATTCAGGTTCTTCGTATCTCTGCCATTGATGTTCAATACATCAAGCTACATAAACACCTTCCAATGATGCTGCATTCGGGAGATATGGCAGCATTTCTGCACACGAGCGCAATGACAAAAACATAAAACCAATGGGCGAAGCGAGGTGCATCCTCTTATTCCTCCCGTCCTTGTATCCAGGTAACCCCAACAGGTAACCTCAGCCACCCGCCCCGACCGGAGTGGTCATCCATCTGACCGCCGCTGCCGGGATGGCCACAGATCACCAGTGATGAACCGCCTCAGCTGCAGCGCGGAGCACATCGAACAGCAGCTCAGAGCCACCGCCAACCCGGCCCGAACCCGTGTACAGACTAACCGCAACTCGTGCACCGCACCGCGTTACGATACATCAGAAGCAGGGAGCACCGCTGGCGGGGCGACTGACCGCTGAAAGCGACTGAGGGAGAGAGACGGATGGATGGGGGAGGCTGACTGCCCCACCGCGCAACAGGCCACAGGTCCAGTCAGGAGGGTGTAATGAGACCATTATATCATCGTCGTTACGACCGCCACGGGGAGGTGGGTCATCTCTGCAGGGTGGGCGAGGAAGCAGCATGTTGGATGATGGAGAGAGCATGTGGTTACCGGAGAGGAAGCGTGGTTTCGTGAGATGTTTGACACGCTCATGAAACACAGTGCGCACACCCCTCTAGACATTAGGTGCGGCCAGTGCCCATCCCATCTCTGTCACAGGGTTGGGCTGGTGAGACCAGACCGTCCCTCTGAACAGGGGATTCGCGGAGTGCAAGTAGTGACATCCTGCGGAAGTTTACTGGCATGTCAGTAGACATCATTATCGCACTGAGGAGCCCGTTTAGCTTAGCCGGAACGTCGATGTTGAGACACAGCACAGTAAAGACGTCCAGCCCGCATACTTCGTACTGTTCGTCTGCACTTTGCTTCAGCGACATTGCATTTACTGCGCCTCAGATGCAGACATCAGTCCCAAATGTCTGACGATAAGAGCACAAAAAGACCCCGACCGGCGACCAGTCATATTCACCCGCATCGTCCAGCGCCAGCGTGTTTTGGGAAAGTTCCGTCCATGTCCTCGTCAGGCGATAGCAGAATTTCGTGCGGTAGTATTAAGTGATTAAGCGGTTGGCGCCGTCGTCATGCACCTCGCATGTGCATAATGACTGAGAAAAGATGCGCCCGATATGCCCGTATACGTGTAAAGCTCCTTCACGAAACCACTGACGAGTGACGGGAAGTTGGCGATACGCCCTGCGCCAGCGGCCTAGTCGGCGGCAAAAAAGCACATGGCTGATGGTGGATTTCCGCGGCGGTCGCCATTGGTTTCGTCAAAGTCGTCCGACTTACCTCGCTGAGTCACTGTGGGCGCCACAGTTTCCCGGCCTTCCGGTCAGCAAATGTCACTATCGCACACATCAGCAACGGCCAAAACAGAATCACCCAGCCAGCTTGTTAACTCAACCCGACCTTGACTCAGTTTGCAAAGAGCCCACAGGCTAACACAAACAACTCTGTCGCCGTCGCTTGCCAGTCGCCCGTCCAGCCCACATCCGCCGGAAGTTGCAACTCCACCCCATCGTCCGCCCGGGCCTCTACCCCTCCCCCTTAGTCCATCGCTCCTGCACAACTTCCATGGCACCGCCGTGATGGCTCCATGCGCCGCCGCCGCCGGAGGGCACGGACCGCAGTGAGTCCGCTGTACGCCCAGCGGCGACTGACCGACTGGTGTGGCGCCTGCCAGTCCCAGTCCGTTAGCAACGGCGCGTTACAAGGTCAAATCCTGATGTGTCACCGAATGTCCCCAAACGTCGTCAGTTTTTGGGGTGGATGGGGAGGGCGTAAGCCCAGATGACTAAGAGATTATCTAAAATCAGAGTATTTGAAGAAAAACGAAGTACCTACCTAAGTCACAATCTTATTCAAGAAAACTGAAAGTCAGCATAGAAATAAGGAGAGTCATATCCTATTAAATCGTCAGTGACACCAACGGCGTACCGTTAGTGCAGCACTTTTCATTTTCAAATGGGCACCTACGTCAAACTTCAAAGAATCAACACACAAAATGACGCACACTGCTCACAGAAATGTCACATCAGCATGCGTGGGTAATGATCACACGAACTCCTTCGAAAGTCCACTACACTCTCCAGAGAAGCGCAGATCGGACCGGACGTCACTCGACCAAGCACGAGCAGAAGCACTTGCTTCAGATCGGAGCAGCCCTTCTGATGTGTCCGGGTCCGCTTTGATGCTGGCACCGTGCGAGCTACCGGCGTCAACATCAAAGGAGTCCGTGGCTCGCACTTTGGTGAGTCTTTAATTAAGCGCAGTTTGAAGTGGGCTAATCAGGTTTAAAAGCTGCGCGACCCGCCTCGATCAGGAGGCAGACGGTGCGGCGAGTGAACTGTACGCGGCGTGTTTACCAGGCACGTGACCGGCGTCAAAAGGAGCATACTGACATTGGAATCGAGCAGTGACCGACGGGCATCGCGATATGGGTCATTCATACAAACGTTTTAAATCAATTCCAATGTGCCTGAAACCCCGAAAACGAAGTCGTGCCAGAACACAAACTAAAGAAGAAAACAATTAGCTCTCTTAATGACCACGAAGTCTAGTGGTTCAAAAAAGTAAGTGTTTATCAACCAGCATCAACACCTCGAAAACCCATGTTGAATGCTTCCCTTCCAATCGTGACCCGGCAAAAGAACATGAACACGAGCAAAAGCTCAGCCATGCTAGTGAAGCGGATGCAGGGGTCTCCCCAACGAATCCAGCCAGCAAGCATGACAGATCGCCACCAGTATCTCAGAGCCTTCGGGATCTAGGGACTCGACCCAGGATCTGTCCGTCATGAGCCGCAGCCTCCACACTGTCCAGCAGCTTATGTAATCTCGTCGGACCGTGCAGAAGTGACTACGGTCGATTCAGAAACAGTCCGAGTCTGAGCTGACAGCACTTGTCGCGCTAACCCAGATGAGCTGCAACAGACTCGAGCACGACCAAACAACCCGATCAGCAAAACACATGGCAACGCCTCAACGTGCCCCGATATAGCTTGACCGAGAGCTTGGCTTAGACTTACGGTGAAGTTTCTACCCCTCCAAAAACAGTCGCCCGGGATGAATGTTGTAACAAAACATGCCACCTCGTCACTTCATGATTGAAAATGCGTGAAAGTTTCGATTAGCACTAAGTTCACTGGACAAAGTGCTCAGTCCACGGCCAGACCACCAGCAAAACCGAGCCTCAGTGAATCCTCGAGCCTTGGTTTGAGCCGTTTCCGTGAATCGCCTGCCGGGACGGACAGTCCGGCCGGTGTCGGAGCCCCAGACGCAAAAATCGCCCGCCACCTGAGCGATGAGCCGCCCGTGGTGGCGGTGGACCGGCGGTGGCCTTGTGCGTCCGGCCGGCTTTTCAACGCATGGGTGGTTGTAGCGGCTGGACAGAGCTCTGGACTTGCTCAGCCTCCTGAAAGACCAGTCTCCGCATAAGACCAGCGAGTATTCGGCCTAGTTCAGGCCCCAAGATTCTCAACAAACATCGCATTCCGGTCCAAAGTTCAGTGCATCTGAAGGGCTCGTTTTGTTGTGCAACCCAAACGACCGGATAACCACATCCGCTTTGTGACCGCGATGCTATCCCCGCATGATCACAGTTGACGCAAAGCAAGCAATTGTTCATTGTTGCACGAGAAATAGATCCCCCAAAATGTTTCCAATAATCGCGCGCACCAAATCCATCAACTAGGTAGCCAAGCTGACACTAGGTAACCGAACTGAAATCATGGGCCACCGCTGTCTACACGAGAGCGGAGCCAGGTAGTGCTTACAACCGGGCAAACTGATGAGGGAGACCAGTCCAAGCACATCCACCCTAGAAACACCATAGGCTCCAACATAGAAACAGGGATGACTGCGGTAAAAAAACCGGGACAATGCCATCAGCGTCTTAAATCATCCTATACGCTCAATCCCAGGCGCCATCCTCCACGTCACACACCTCGGCGCCCAGTACTTCAGCCACCATCTCTGCCTGGCGGTCCAGCGGCCGGGCCACGCCGCTCGGCGGGCGGGGGGAGAGGGCCCGAACGAGAATAGCCAGCCCGCCCCGGCGGCCCCGGCCCCGGCCCCGGCGGCGGCGGCGTGTTTTCGTCGGCGGCCCACCGACCTGTGTGGCCCAACTCGCCGGGCCACCGGTCACGCCTGTTGGCACTACGAGGGGATGGAGGTATAATGGTGAACCTGGTGTGCTCTGGCAATGGCACAGATTTCGCGACAGGCTGACAAGTGGCATCAAGCGGACGACCAGCAATCAGCATCCGATGGATGCATCAAATGCAGGTGTCTCATGTTCTCAGACGAAATTCGTGGAACTTTTGGCTGTGGCTCAGCTGGCGAATGTTGTGATGAGGTCAGAAGAGAAGGAATTCAGAAGGGATAGACAGATAGGATTTTAGGTTTTAGTGCTGCCTCTCTGGAGACCCGACAGTGACCAACAGAGACGGCAAAATGGCGGTAATTGCGGTAGAAACGCATGGCCAGTGGACACAGGAACCAACACGCGGTAGAGCCGGACTGGGCCCCTACAGCAGAGAAAAGTGGTAGAGTGCGCACATGGGCCTGTGATGAACCATCGACGACTAGCCACAGCTCAAAATTATCCCGTGGAATGCAACAACCACCCGTGGGTAAAGGATAGGCACAGCACAGCGAACACCACACGCACTTTGCCCTACGAAATCCTCCAAACCCACACATAGCCCACGAGCCGGCGGCCGGCGGCCCAGCCGCACCCCAGCTGGTGCGAGCCTGCCGGCGCGGCGGACGCAGGGACCCCTCAGGGACGCGGCGCCGGCCAGCGCGTGCACCCACTGTATAAACTCAGCCGGCCGGCCGGCCGGGCGCTCAGCTGGC